GTGCTATATAGAGATATGGACATTTTGTTACTCTTAAACAAACACAAAACTTATAGGATACCACCCGTTTATTTAGAATTGTGAAATTTTGCTGGTTTCACGCTATGAAACAAAAAGAACAAAATTTGGTTATTTATAATCACGTTTACAAGTTGTTAGAGTGCGATTTGTATTCAACAAAATCAAAGCATCAGGCTACCTCACGAGTTCTGCGTTGGATGAAACTGTAACAGTCTACGGTCTGAAAGGACATCATTTAATGTCAAGTAAAGTATTGTATTCGCCCTTGTTTTTTAACTCACAGAAGGGCGTAATAATGTGACGGGGCCTGTTTTTATAAGTTTCAAAGTATAATAATTTATAAGTAGTAAAGTATAAGTATAATAATAATTTTAGGTAACAAAAGGCTCGTATTTGACTATAGAGTCATAGAGCAGAAATCTGGATTCGAAACCCGCAACATTAGACCAATAAAACTTCAGGCCACAAACCATTTTCTCTTTCTCTGTCTCTACCCCTCTATCTCTCTCAACTGTTCTCCATAAAACACATTGATACAATAAGCTAAATGAACACGCACTCAACACGTGGGGTACTTAAAATAATAAAAGAGAGAAGAAGAAATCGGACTCCAAGAAAAAGAAATAGCTGAAACACTTATACATGTTGTATAAGTGTTTCAGCTTTTGAATTATTTCTAGGATTTTAAAGAAACTGAATCGTCGTTCTTGAAAATTGAACAAGACAAACTTGTTGTCGATGATGTTCTGATGATTCCGGTCATAACATCTTGACCAATATGAGTGTAATTAGTTATAATTTAAGTATATTATGATATATTGATGTAACAGCTTTTACGAGGCCTCCATTTTTCCGCTTTTATTATTCTGCACCCAATATCCACTGTAATACTGCAAGTACTATCTATATTCCACTTATTGCAGATGTACAACGAGATAGATTTCAAGATAATCGAGTAACCCAACTTTCATAGATACCTTTCCGCGGTTACTAGATAATGAGATATGACTGCGCTAAAGACAAAAGCGGAATCGCGTGCCGCCGCCCTATAAAGCGTGCAAGTGTCGGGCGGTACCGGATCTGCAGCAGATGCCAGGCTTTCTGCCAGAGATCCTATCGCTCGGCCGAATAGATAAGCCCTATCTGGATCCCTAGATTAATGAGCGCTAACGTACCGACTGGACGTACCCAGGAACGCTGTTTAAGTTCGTTTCACGTCACGTAATAAGGAAAAGCGGATAAGCTAAGCGTTTAGAACGGACGTATTGGATAAAGGACTCCGTTGCATTTTTCACAATAGTCTTTTTGTTTTTTATTAATTTTATTTTTCAGTGCTAGCGTTTACACATAATATGTTTTATTATATGTTTATAAATTGTTCACCACTGCTAGGACCGAACCAGCATCTTCCGCTGAGCCGTCTAGAAGCTCTATCCATTAAAAAGATGTCGATGTAAATATAATCTGGACGTCTTATCTACAGTTTTTTTTTATTGCACTTTTAGTAGTGTTTTCCATTTACCATTTAAAATATTCCAATACTACAAAACTAATGTTTTGCTCAGATACAGATACAAATAGCTCGGTTTCGAGCGCTCACTTTTAGTTCATTGTACTTGAGCAAACCGAGTTTAATTTCGACACCAATGAAATTTGTAATTACAATTTTAAGTAACGACTTATCAAATAATAATAGAAATAATAACAATTAAAATTTGTCGAACATGTGTGATCTTCTAGTATTTTATTTATCAGTACATATACATATATATGTAGCTTGTAAGTGTGAGTTATCGTTTTTCTTTTTTATATACCTTTCTATGCACCTACCTAATCTTTTCTGTACCACACTAAGGTTGACTGGGAGATAATGCTTTTGACATTAAGTCCATCTTTGTTCTCTTTTTGCATTAAGAATTAATAAAATAACTGAGCAACAATCGAGAGATCTGAACAAAACTTTTCCCGGCAGTGGGATCTATAAAGGCTGTTACTTTACTATTACTTTAACGGCTCTACGTCGTCGGTTAAAGAGTGACCTTCCCGTTAGTGGTAGGGATGGTCACGAGGCGTTTCAGTGTAAAGTCGTAAATCGAAACACCTCGTGACGATCCGAATCCCGTGGTCCGTTCGCGGGAATTTTAATTGCGAGGCGATCGCGGCTACGATGGGGTGACCACAGATTAAATCGCCCTCCGAACGTAAATCGTGTACAGCACTATAATATGTATACTGCAGTTGTAACTATTTTATATGCGGTGAAAATATATATTTAGTTACTGGACTCCAGATATATTTGGTTACTGGAGATAGAATTTTGACGTCATTATGGAGCTATTGTCAAATACCTATCGCTAATAACCAAATCTATCTATCTGTTGGTATACAGAATATTGTAACCGGCCGTTACCAAGCTTCATACGGGAATACAGATGTAAGTTACTGAACAAGTAAGGATGATATTGAACATACTGTATACAGTATGTTCAATATCATCCTTACTTGGTCTTCCTTACTTACATCCTATCTTACTTGGTCATCCTTACTTACATCCTATCCTATAGGATAGCAGTCATTAACGACTTAGGTGCCAAGTGTCAAATTTTATCGCCCTTTATGCCGATTTGTCTAGCAGTTGGGTATAGCAATGTGTTCTGGGCGTTAGGTTACTTCATACTACTGATAATAATTAAACGAAAAGCAAGCGTCACGACTTCTCTTAGCTCGTTCCACGACCCTGTCGTCGTTTTCATTCGCACCGACGAAATAATTCCATTAAAACTCACAAACGGACCCCGTGCTACTGCTCCCTGAACGGTGACAGGTTGACAACATGCAATGGGTAAACTGCGCCCGTGCTATCCTAAAGTAGCTCTTATGCTGAAGTGATAAGCGTCCGTAAGGCCGCATTTACGTTCTGCAGAGACGAGATGGGGTCAGAAGTTAACTACGATCCGCCGGGCTGTTACGGCACGCTTCCGATGATCCCGATATGGAGCAATGGACGCTTTACCGTTGAAATCACCCACTTCTGGTTCAGACTCCTCGTAATAACTGACAGGTTTGTTAAACCATTCAGCTAAAGTAAAAGCATCGTAGTTGCTTAACGGTCTTCGCGATAAGAGTACTTATTCGCTACGAATGAAAGGGGGAAATAAATCGATACAAGCTTCAGTAGTAAGTTTAGTTAATTTTCACTATAACTGCAGTGCTTTTGAAATGCAGCAGCATTTTTTTCCCTTTTTTTTAAAGTTCTTTCTTTTATGAAAAACACCAGTTCATATTTTCTTATTATTACGTTGGTATTATGCATATTTCTTTACTCAGTACTTTGTATCTAAATGTAATTTCTAAAATACAGGATTTACAAAAATAAACACCTCCAGGTACTTAATATTATATCCATAGTAGGTAGCGCAGGTCTACAGTGGAGTTTAAAATTAAAATAAACTTCAATACCATCAGTAAACCAGTCGTATTAAAATGTGTAATATATACATAATTATGTAAACAATGAACAAGTTACGATAATTTGAAAGAGAATGAATGCTAACAAATAATTGTCCTTATGCGCCGCTAGAGTTCTTGTAAATATCGAAATCATCTGTGCTAATGTCATGAAGAAAGTGTCTATTGTGAGATCAAGAACGAAGTAACCTTGAGAAAGTTTCAATATAACGATTTCATTTTTATAGATTTAGATGAATATTTTGTGTTTCCAGTCTATCCCGTGAACATGTATGTCCTGGATCGTTCGAAAGTGCGGCAATACGAACCAACGCGATATAATCCTTTAAATACTTTTACTAAATAAGGTTAGTTTAATTAGATAGTGCAGTTAGTTTTCGGGTAAAGATAATAAAACTTTAGATCAGTACCTACTGAAATAATAACCTTATTTGGTTATTTATGACCTTAGTTACAACTCTACACACTAATTAACGGTTCTCAGTTGAATTAATAATCCAATGGATGAAACTGAAACTTCATTCGGTGCTGAATTCGGCGAGTTTTCCAGTTTTTGACGTAGCATTCACACAGAAAGAGACACTTCAGAATATTTTTCTAAGTTCAGTTTAAGTGTTTTTGATAGACAAGCTTGATTTGAGCATGTTATGACGGACAGTAAAGGCATTATTCTACTGTCAATCCTTAAATCAAGATGTCCATGGACTACAATAAAGGGGCGTATCGATGTAGGGATGGACAAACGAGCAAACAGACAAAAGGGGCAAACGAGCAGGAGGCTCCCCCGATGGTAAGCGATCACTTACTTGGCTTACAAATGCGTTGCCGGCCTTTTAGGAAAGAGTATGCTCTCTAATCTAGCAGCAGTCGTATTTGTACTAAACGACAAAGTACGTTAGAAGGCGTTATGAGTACCGGGCGTTTTCACTGTACGGCAAGGACGCCGCGCTCCGACGGGCGACGTCGAAATCGCCTCGCTGCGAGGTCAGCAAACATCTAATGACGGGTAATTGCTCTAATTACGTGTTGTGTTGCTACATACGCTGGTACGTACGCCCGTCGCTCCGTACGTGGCCGGCCCTAAGCATAATGGTGGCATTGTTTATCGACCTATATTATTATACGAAATCGAATACTATCGCTTACAGTGAGACAATATTGTCGCAGTGTGACAAACTGAGCAATGCGTATAGAAAACTTTTTTTATGTGAGATGAGACATTTGAGGTCCGCCTATCCACAGTTGGGTCGCGTCACGCGTGGACTAAATTGTTGTGTGTGGACTAAAGTGAAATTACGGGACAAGTCTCTTTCACATAATGTGTTTTTCATTACATGCTTACTCGTTAATAATTAAGCATATTTTTTTTAACTCAGTATGTAACGCAATATAACCATAGGCTTGCGTGGTATAATAAATAAATAACCCGTTAATTAAATCGAAATAAGAAAAAAAAAACAAAACCTTCCGACATACTATTAAAAGGCACTCACTTAGTAAGGTACGCGTCACAGCATGCCTATACGTTTATGAGCGCTACGGAGCGTTATCGCGCCGACCGGCACGCAGAATATCCGAAGGGCGGAGCGAGGCGCATCTCTCACGACGACTGCTGGACGCGGCGACGCGCGTCCTACCACACTACGTCATTCTTTACACTCTATTTCTGTTACATTATTTCTGTGTAATTTATGATTAATTTTACTCAAATTACTCTAATAATCGACTATTAAGTCACCGAATCTTAATATAACTAATAATGTGCAAATAAGAATGTATCATTAAAACACATAGCATTTTGAAGAACGTTTTTCAGTTTTCCTTCCTATTTTTTTTCCTTTCATTTTTAATTAAACATATTGTTGTTGAAATTTTTCAACGAGTTTTTTTATAAAAACATAAACTTTATTGTACTACTACTAATTTACGGCAAGCAATTTTGAATAGCGGCAAGCTTTAAAATGGCGTTTCAATCATAATGAAGATATCTAGAAGTTACAGCATTACGACAAAAAAACACGTTTGAGGAATAATAAACATGCATAATAATAATTATGTGTATTAGTAGTAGTGTATTGTATTATTACAAGCATCGCGTAATGGTCGTTTACGGTCTCAGAAATTAAATTACAGTTGACCGTTATTTTAAGCTTACGAGATTAATAGTTTCCGAATTTCATTCCTTTCCCATTTAGTTTCCTCACAATCATCTTACATCCATTCCTGGATTTTTATTGTATTGAAACCGATCACCTTCATCCGCATTCATTAGCAACAATTCGAAAAACCACGCCGTGTGATCGCGGCGTGGCGCGCGGTGCGTTATTGCGCGAATTAAAAAAGGGCACCGAGATCGGGCGGCGTCGCAGCGGCTCGCGGGCGGGTCACGACGCGGCGCGTGTGTGCGCGCCCTAATCGCGGGCATCGGATCTGTGTGCGGATGCGGCCGCGCCAGTTGTGGGAGCGGGCCGTCAGGTGGAATGGAACTCTTTAGGCGCTGGCCAGTTCGTAATCGTGTTTATAATGAAACACACGTCCGTTCGCAATTGCGAAATAGTGCTGGCCAGTTTGTGACTAAACTAAGTCCGCTGGCTCAGCGACCCGAAGTGACTGACTACGATATGAGTTGGCGCCAACGCGCCGTCTTTTTGTCTTGTCCAGTTTTCTGCGTTCAGGGCGCGAAGGTCCCTTGATCCTTCCAGCGGTATCTTTGCCGCCCAACCGTCGGCCTCCAGATCGGCCATCATAGGCTCCCTTCACCGCCCTGTCTGCCGGCATTCGTTTGTTACAGAGAAATTAAAAAATAAACTATATCCTCGCGAGTTGGTGACCAGTCTTAGATTTATCAGCTTATCGACCCCGTTCAGCTGTCGTTTAATCGGTCGCGCAAATCTCGCCCGAGCTAATAATTATGGCCTCGAGAGTTCTTATTATTCCAATTTGCAACATTCACGTGCATAAATCAAAGTAATCGCTTGATGATTTTTCCTGGAAAAAATCCTGTACGGATCCCCTCCCTCATCCAGCGTGGATCCTGGGACTATGGCCTTCTCGGGTCTCCTCTTGAACGCTTGACGAGACATACTAAACGTTGTCCGCAACTATAAATCAGGGTAGTAAATTACTTAGACACGAAGCGATTTCGTCTGTGGCGTGCACAGCTCAACAATCTTGCACTGCGCCATGCCTTAGATTAGACGAAACATAAAGGCGCGAAGCTTCGCCCATACAATATATCGCCAATTTATAAGAGGTAATTCATGACGCGACGGTCACTTCATGGGATAATTTGTAGTCAACCAAAATATTTATAAAATACCCCGTATAAATATTTTGTAATATAATAATTATATACGTAAAAGAACTTGATATAATAGGATTTAACAAGTAATCGGTCTTAATTCACCTTAGACGTAGAACTTAAAAGTACTGAAATTGCAAAATATTTAAGTTCTACAGCCAAGATGAATTACATTGTTAAAAAAGCACACTGATTGAAGGTTACCAATAAAAATTTATGGCTACGATAGCTTAAGCGTAATACTCAATAATAACATTACGTTTTATAGAATATGATGATCTCTTGCATCTTTAAATTACGCGCCTGTATAAATTTTTAATATACAGCGTGTCGTTACCATCGCGACAATAAATGAACACACATATAGGAGATAACTTTTTAAAGTTGTATTAAACATTTACATTCTTTAAACATCAATATTTACAGAGTTATAAAATTTTCCAAAAAGAATTTAAGAACACCCTTACGTATAAAACTGTAACTTAAAGTTCATTTGTAAAGGTCACAAAGCATATGAATGGGTTGAATGAATTTAAAAGAGACAAAACATACTGTTAGAAGGAGAGGCTTGTAATACGACGCTGTGGCGGGAGTTGTATAGGGCTTACAAATTTTGTTTCTTTTTTACTTAATTAGTTTGTTTGAAAAATATTTTTTATAATTATGGATTTTGTTTAACGTTAATATTTTTTTATGATTATTGGCAAGTAGCGTTAGACGTGTGTTCATTTATTGTCGCGATGGTAACGACACGCTGTATATTAAATATATATGTATAAATTTATTTTTGAAGTTTTAAGTGAACATGTTAGTCATTGATCATATTATCGAAGCAATGAACTTCAAATGCTTTTTCATTCAGCAACAATAATCCTTAAAACTACTAGCTCTTTAGGTGGATTTTTGTCCACCCCATTCTTAATAAACACGATGATACTTCTATCTTCCGCTCTCTAGGCATGGACGTAAATAAATATAGGCCACTCGTAATAGAAAATTCCTAAACGATATTATTTCTCGAAAGTAGCGTTATCAATATCTCAAAATCAGAAGGCCACTATTTAAGTTTTGCAAAACTTACGTAAAATTTATTACAAAACGTATAGCTAGCTAACACTAAGATAGCAATTAATAGAAGCTAACGAACAAACAAACAAAATATTGGAAATTTTAACTAGCGAGGTATCGATATCAGGTTAATATCGCGCAATTGACAGCATTCACGCCACTTGGCGGTGTTTTCGCGCGCTTTGTTTTTCTTTTTTTTTTAATTGTTAACGCAAAGGCACGGATCGCTCGTGACTCGACCGCTGGTTCGGAAGCGCTATTCGATTTCTCTGTAATAGTACACTGGGAAATAAATTGCATGTAATTTTTGATCACTTGGCTTCGTTGTTTTGTTGCTTCTACATTAACATTATTATGTTTTTTTTTTTTTTTACTTTATTTAAAACATATTTAAAACTGATATGATATATTGATTTAAGTTTACAATGTTTAGCTCCTTTTCAAAAATGACAATGTATTTTTATTAAATGAATATCTTTTTGACCAAACAAAACAAAATTGGAAAATGAGAAAAAATTGTAATTACATATACTTATATCATAAGAGTTCAAAAAAAAAGAAAAGTTTCGAAATCAATGTCATTTACTTTTACAATTCTTTTTATGCCTAAGTATTTCGACGGGTGTCATGTGTAAAACGGTGTCGCAGTTGTCGCACTTATACTCTTTCGCGTTAGGTTTATTTTCGCGTGGCGCTCTAATCGCCTCCATCTTATTCTCGACCGCTCTAGAAGAGCACGTGTACTTCTTGTGTTGGAGCCTTTCTAACGGAGACAAGCACAGAGACATTTCGCAATTGGGACAGCTCCAAGGCACGCCGTAAATTTCTTGGTAATTATTGTAACTCCAATCCGTGTCGACAACGCTGAAACCAATTAAATTTGATTGCATTATAACCTTATTACAAGTTTACCGTGGGCGTGGTTGGTATAAAATTGAAATAACTTCTATACCACCACAACAATTAAGTAATACTTACTTGGATAAAAATTTATTTTTTTAATGTAAAAGGCATGTTGGTTTAAAGGCAAAGACTTCAAAGTATATGTGAGCGAGAAATGATGTGCAATCAATTTTAAAGTATCACATGAGTCGCTAGACCAAACGGGTCAGTATCGCCTAATTTATAATCAAAAATCACAATCAAAATTAAAAATATATTTATTCAAATAGACGCTTGCGCGCTCTTATGAATCGTCAAATTTTACATCAAAGATTATGTGTATAGGTTCGTAAGGTACCACCGGTTCGGAAAGCAGTTTCTGTTGAGAAGAGACCGGCAAGAAACTCAACACTTGCTCTTTTTCAAAGGTATCACTTTACAATATAACATACAGGTATAATAGTCTTATTCTAGCCTATGTTAATATCAACAGTATTAACAGTATTAGACTTCTAATTTAACGGTTAAATTGGTCAAGCGGCAGACTTAATATCGATTGTGGAATTTTATTATACATGCGCACACTTTGCCCCACAAAGTTCGTGCCACGTGCCCCACAGCAGTGCCCCACAAATTAGGTAAATACCTAATTTGTACGAACAAACATATTATTTATTTATTACAGACATCTAACTGCTTTAAATTGAATTTATAATATTGTAATCGAAATTACATTACGCTTAGTTTTTTGAACATTTACTCGAAAAGCAATATATTTATTTTGTACGTAAAGCAACCCCCGTATTTAATGGCTTCTGAACATCCCTCTCTTGTTAATACCATTGTTCATATTCCACATATATTAGGATCAAAATGCAGACGCACTATGAACAATCTTTGGTCCAAGTTTCTAAAGAATGTTGTAAATCATCACACAATTAGTGATAGCGCCACAATAATAATGTCATCACCTTATAGACGTCTTTTTATGTCAACACCATATCTCCCTTAATTCTTTTCAAAAGTAATATTTCAAACGTCATATTTAATCTCATGTCCGACAAGTAAAAGTAAATAAAAAGTTTTAGATTAAAGTTTTCGTCTAACAAATTTCAGAAGGGTAAAGAACAAGGAAAGCGCCATCTATTGACAATCTGAAATATATACGACTATAATGCGCTCGGTATAGCTAGTATTTCACTTTTTTTAGCGACAACATAAGTAATTATCGTATAAAAAGTTTATCTTTAACAAATTATAGAAGGGTAAAGAATAAGGCCATAAGGCGCCATCTATTGACAACCTAAAATACTATAATGCGCTCGGTATAAATAGTATTTCACTTTCGCGACATGTATAAAAATGTGAGCGTACCAATTGTAGACGATATTGTCGGTGATGTACACGCCTCCTTTTTTCTCGTGGGCGCGGCATTCGAAGCCCTCCTCGAAGGGGTTAGGGTCGATATTCGTGTGCGCCTCGTCGCCGCCGAAGTATAGCACCTTCAAATCGCCGGGGAGCAGTCTCTTTATGGTGTAATACACGTCGCTGTTCATATAGGAGCCAATGTCGCAGGACAACTCGTGCTGCAACTCCTCGTAAGGAATCTTCGAGGTCTGGTTGGACTTCTGCAGTTCCGACTCGACGGATTTCTCGGGATTCGCGTCTGGAACAAATGTCGCTTGTTATAATATTCCACAGTTATATTATTAACAAAACATCCTTATTGTTATATATATTAGTCTGAACTATATAGACATAACGATAGGTATGCATTTTTTTATAACTATTTTCGCCACGAAAGTTATCAATTCGAAAGTTTGCTTGTATTCTTGTTGTTTTATCGTGTTTATAATAATAATAATAACAATATATTTTTATTTCAGATAATTTTACAATCCATATACATGTTAGTAAAACGGAAACTTAAATTCTAGTATTAGTATTAGTAAGATACCAAATAACATTGTTATTTTTTTTTAAGTGAGAAAGTGACAAACGAGCTGGCGGTTCACCTGATGTTATGCGATAACCGCCGCCCCATGGACATTTGCAAGTGCGTTGCCAACTTTTAAAGAAGTGGGCCCCGGCAACCTCACTCACCAGACGAAACGCAGAAGGGTAACACTTCTACCTCGCGCCGGTCAGCTGTGAGATCGCGGTACTTCCCCGGATGGTCCTACCCATTCGTGAAATAGCGAGGGCTGTTTCGTGGCCCTACCACGGTAGCGTTACCGGCTAGTCTCCGATTGATGAGGTAGTCCCAACGCTGCCGTAGCTTGGTAGCCTTCAGCAGCAGGCTCAAACCCGACTCGGCGTAGGGGAACTCCAGTAGCAGCCAGGAGTCACAAACTAAACTGAAAATTGTCGACTTTTTTGTTAAAAGTTACGATGATTGAGTTTAAGAAAACATCTGAAACAGCTTTTTAGGAATTAAAACATTCACGGCCATATTCATATAAAAACAATCCTTATGTCAAATCAAAATAATCACTGATTAGTTAATTTTAACGTGAATAACGGTAAAATTAACTAATAATCCAGAAATTCGGACTGATTTGATAACTCTTTTAATTTGACACATAAGTTAGTTAAACAATATCTTGATTATCGTTTTAGAAACCGGGCTTTACTAAGGCTAATGTTTACGTGGAAATATAGTGTTTTACGTGGAAATATAGTGATTTTAAAAAGCTATAAGATTTTTACATTTGTAGAACAAAAAAAGTACGAAAAGTTTAAGGCCGTTGTGTTTCGCAACGTTGAGATTTTGGTCGGTGTATGACAATCAGCCGTTTAGCTTAGCGGTTAAAGCGTCTGATCGCGAATTCCGAAGACGTGGGTTCGATTCCCACAGCGGCGAAGAACTTTTCGTACTTTATTTTCTACAAAATTTAATTGTTTGACCTTAAGTGCAGAGATTAAGAGCCGTGATAGCTCAGTGTCCGGGCGCTCGCCTTTAATTCAATATACTCGAGCAACCTGAGTTCGATCCCCGGTGCCGGCACCAATGAAGTTTTTAACTTTAAGTGCTGATTTATCACGTGCTCCGCGGTGAAGGAAAACATCGTGAGGAAACCTGCATATTTTCGAAATAATAACAAAAAAAAAAATATATATATTTCGAAGATATGTGAAGTCCGCCAATCCGCAGTGGGGCCGCGTGGTGGACTATGCCCTGATACCCTCTGTATAGAGGAGGCCTTTGCCCAGCAGTGGGACATGTATAGGCTGTTACTAAGTGCAGAGATTAGCAATATAAAAATTTGAATTATAAATCTGTACCTCAGAGGTAAACAGTATATTATGCGAGACAAAAGTGTGGAGTGAAATCCTTGAATGCATTTGATTATGGTGTCATACAAGATTGGATATTCAATTAATTAGGCCTCATGGGACTTAATGTTTTATACTATTGTGTGAAATTTGTTCTTGCGATTTTAATTTTGAAAAATGTGGAGTGACTATTGTATGCCTCTGAGGTACCTGCAGAAGTTATTTTGTTACCGCGTGAATCCAATGTTGGTGTCGATAGAGTGCGAAAGAAGCAACAGAGTTTGGGCTGCGGGCATCCTCATCGAGTTTACGATGTACGGCTTGGTTGTCTCCAACAGGGACCTGAGAATATCAAAGTCAAAGTCAAAATTTCTCTCATAATATATCTTCGTTCAATACAGGCTTATTTTAACATCTTATTGGACGTCAAAAAACATTCAACTATAAAAACACAGACAATAAAATCCGACCAAGTGCGAGTCGGAATCACGCACGGAGGGTTCCGTAACGTTATCTATAAAAACGGCAAAAAAAGTCATGTCTGTTGTATGCGAGAATCATTTAAATATTTTTTTATTCTGTTTTTTAGTATTTGTAGTTATAGCGGCAACAGAAATACATATCTGAGTAAATTTCAACTGTCTACCGATCACGGTTCACGAGATACAGACAGACAGGCAGCGGAGTCTTAGTAATAGGATCCCGATTTACCCTTTGGGTACGGAACCCTAAAAGATACCCACGCTACACTAAACTAGAGCTGACCAGAGAAGAACCGGCAAGAAACTGCGGTCTTGCGGTTCTGTGTTTTTTAATGAAGCCCGCCAAATTATTTTAAATTATACAGCTTAAGTATCTAAGCTGCGAAAAAATTAAAGGAAATGTCGTCATAAACATTACATTGCATAAGTCTTGGAGAGCTTTAATCTACTCTACCTTATTACATCTACGTCTAACATTTCCCATCCAGATACTGTTGGATTCATATTTTCGACTTTATGTTTATCTTTGTATACGATTTTGAGGATAAGAACTACAATAACTTGGACCCTAAAGAGCTTCCTCACGGTTCACAGTAGCAAAACGTAAGCCTGTTTTAAAAGTTCCGTGGCGACATCTAGTGTCAAACGTATTATATTTTCTAAATACATTTATGCAGTCTGCACCGAGTTGTTCCCATTTATATACTATGATAATACGAAATGTTATTCAAATTTTTAATTAATATTTTATTCAAACAATAATTTTATACCAGATCTTTACCTATGAAATTGCCATTTCGTATGAAATAAGTTAAAGTTATTTTTTTAAAAGTACTGTTATTCAAAGTGTTGGCGACGGACATATTTTAATGTAAATATTTCTTTGTTTTCTTAATTTTATTTCATGTATTACATTTATGTTCCGTAAATTATTAATTTCTTAGTTACTTATATACATTTTTCGTTTAGGGCATTGCTTTTGTGTTGAACCAGGATCTAAACAACTTGCTGAGCGCTTTCGATTGTCGAGCAGAACCCATTTTTCGTCGCATGTAACAATTCTGTTCAAAATTCCTTCATTTCTGTGCCTGGCTATCGTTAATTTCGTGGGGCACCCGTCTATCAAGCTTTTCAACCTTAACAATTTCTCGCAAATGGACCAATATTGTTTCGATGCTAACATCAAAAGCTGCTGCTAGCTCGGCTGTAGAGTATCATCATATTCCACAATCGCCTCTTATTCATGATTGTTGACCAAGTGTCCTCACGACCACAAGGTACATTTTACAAGTCAAATTTCCAGAACGGAACGGAACCGGGCAAACCAATAACGGGTTGTGCGTTCGTTTGTAAAGTTCTCTCCATAAACGTGTTGATTTTACGTGCCGTTTGTGCCAGGACAGAGCTCATATTCAATAATGAGACGAATTTTTCAAGTATCTATTATCACGACAACTGTTCAAATGTAATGAAAATACAAAACTAATCAATAAACAAAAGACTGACTTTGTAAAAGAAATTCCGTCGTGTATGGGATACATACGAAGGCTCTTGTTTTATTTGTTCCCCAAACAATATTATCGTTTAAGGGAATATATCAATTCCTTTGAGACTTATTATAAATACGGCAGCTTAAGTAACTAAGCTGCCGAAAAAATGATAGGAATACGTCGCGCTCGTGATTAAAATTACATTGCATAAGTCTTGGAGAGGCTAAACTCCCCTCTACCTTATTACGTCTACGTCTAACGTTTTATATTCATCTACTGCTAGAATCATATTATTAACCTCATATATATCTTTAACGTAAGACATTTTGAATACAAAAGTTTGGAGCCCAAAGAGCTACTTGATCGTTCACAAAAGCAAAACGAGAGCGTGTTTCAAAAGTTCCGTGGCGACATCTAGTGGCACTGTTCTCTAATGCTCATGAATTCAATTTCACCCTGTAGATATATACACGCATACACTAGGACAATATGTTCATCACGCAATATTTTCCAAGTAATGGGCATCGAATCGGTACCCTCTGACGCAAGTAGGTACACTACCCGCCGGGCCAATAGGGTCAGCCCTGTAGTCCCGGGCTCATAGAATAGGGCTAAGGTATCCCCTGCCTGTCGTAAAAGGCGACTAAAAGGGGACAAGGATGGGCAGCAGCACGAAGTGGTCTCGTGCTGCTGCAAGAGGGTGAAAGAATCGGAGATTTCGTCTGGTGAGTGAGGTTCAGATGTCCATGGGCGGCGGTATTCACTTAACATCAGGTGAACCGTCTGCTCGTTTGACAACTTTTCACATTAAAAAAAAAAAGATTTAGCAAGAGGGTGAGGGAATCGGAGAAGGTTTATCCTTCTCCGTGGCGTAGTATCGAGGGACACCGGTGCGTTCCATGGGAGATCCCGGAGTCCCTCCAAATGTAGGGAAGGCGGCCATCTAGGGGGTTTTAGTGGGTAAGAACCCCACATAACCCTGTCATGTAAAGTGACGGGGTATGTTTCGAAGATTCCCCAACCCCCCCCCCCCCCCCCCCAACACTTATAGGGCCATCAAACTCACAGGTAGCACAACAGCTGGTGCCTCGCGGAGACGGGCAGCTTGCTTTTATACCCCGGCGGCAGCTCGGTTTGTATGTCGGCCTCGTTCAGCTGCACGGTCCTGGGTTGCTTCCCGAAGTAAGACGTCGGGTGGAGGAAGACGAACGGCTTGCTCCAGGTGTGGTACAGCTGCTCGGAGACAGACTGGAAAATTGGGGGGTTGAGAGGTCGAGAACGGTAAGAAGGTGGACTTTTCAGTGGAGTACAGTACAGTTAATAGCAACACTGCATTGCGAAATAAGTTTTATTTTTATTTTGTACTACCAAAACACTTAATTGTATCTTTCACGTTTTGAACATTTTAAAATTGGAATAATAATTTCATTTCGTTCTTAAACAATTTTAGAAATTAATATATTGTTCAACACATAAAATATTCTACTTCTATAAATTATTTCGTTTTTAAAGTATCACAAAGATATCATGGATATACAGCGTCTCGTTACAACCGCGATAATAAATGAACACACGTCTAACGCTACTTGCCAATAATCTAAAAGAAATATTAACGATGAAAAATCCATAATAAAAAAAAAGATTTTTCAAATAAACTAATTAAGTAGAAAAGAAACAAAATTTGTAACATCCTATACGACTACAACTGACTGATTCATACATTCAGCGACTTTTTCATTCGTTGCCACATCTTCGCATTACAAGCCTCTCCTTCTAATAGTATGTTTTGTCTCTTGTAAATTCATTCAACCCATTCATATGCTTTGTGACCTTTACAAATGAACTTAGTTGATCATATGTAAAATGGAAACAAACTAAGGTCTTTAGTACGTCTGATAATTATATGATTCAACCCACCTTGCAGTGGTTGAATTCGTCGGCTATCGCAACTTGGGGGTACAGGGCTCTGCACAGAACTATCTGAAATTTAAAACTGTTTTATAACTACGTCTCTCGACAAAACATTTACACGAAGTTTTGAAATTACCATGCATGTAAAGATAAGTACATAGTTACTATTTTATAAACATATTTCAATTATCCGGGCAAAAGGACCATCTTTATTGTATGAGAAAATAGCGACCGAACAGTTACCGAATATTAAATGATTGCCGCCGTACACGAAAACAACACCCATGGGGTTATAATGACGTTTCCAACCTTCAAGAGCGGGCATTGGTTATCTCATTTGCCAGTCGAAATGCCTAATTAAAATACTTCTTGTAAAAATACTACCACTTCTTTCTCGGACGCTGCTAAATTGAAAAACAAAAGCAAATCTGAACCTTTGAAATTCACCACCGCGATTTATAACATCTCTTGTCTATATCCACTGAAGGGTTAAATACCTGACAACTTGTATACACGGTTATACTATTTTAGTCTATATCCACTACAAAAACACGACAAGTTATTTACACGATTATACTATTTTTGTGGTCGTCGCTAATATTAGATCAGTGTACTTGGGAGTATAGATACAAAATTATACAGGGAGGCTTTTCTAAGTGTATCCATTTTTTTAATTAAATTCTAGACATAAATAATATTATACAAAAATGATAAATATTTTAAATCACTCGTAGTATTTAATTACATTCATTTGAACTTATCTCAAAAAGTGCGTGATTTATACGCAACTCATTTATTCTACGCGCGATCATTCATAACTAACACGCACACAAGTTCGTTTGTATGCGTGAACAGTAAAATTTAGGTATTTATGAATGACTACCGCGTTGTCAACAAGTTCTGTTTTTCAGGGAATAGAATGGTATTTTTTTTTTTTTTAAAGTTTGTTTTTATTTCAATAAACGATTATACTACGGAGTCTGAACCTCCTGTGTAAATTTGGGCACCTTTAAAAAAGTCTCCCTGCATATGTAATAATCCGTCACCTTCAGCATGACCAGGTCCCGGCCGCTGGAAGCGCTGGCGCCGGAGATCAGCGCCCTGATCCTCTGCGCGTCGTTCGTCATCCGGAACTCGATGTCGCGGATGTCCAGATGATGATCGTCGCCGGCGCCCTCCTCGACCACCTCCCAGGAGTCCACCTTCAGCCTCCTCCTGCGCTTGGACTCTTCGGCGCTCTTCTGCTTGTACTGCCTGAAAGTGGAAGCGAAACTTTCACTGTCGTGGGGCCAAACAGTTCACTGTTGCACGGATGGGCAGGTCCGTCCGGGGAATAACCACGGCCTGAAGGCGTGAAGTAGAAATGTTATACTTTGCGTTTCGTCTGGTGGGTGAGGTAACCGAGTGTGCTCGTCGAGTCCATTCTGGATGCGTGCTGGAGGGTGCATGGGATAGGTCTGTCTTCTGCTACCCTATCCTCCCGCGTTCCCTATCCTCCGCGTTTCGGCGGGACAGCACCGTTGATGAAGTGGTGGTGGGGCCGCGGGGGGAGAGGAGTGTCGTTATTGCGGTGCGCTGTTCTCTCACCCTCCGAAACGTGGTGAGCGGCTGAGCCACAGACCAGGTACGCCGCTGGGGGCTGGGCTGCTTGCCAATAGCACTGGCTCTCCTGGCTGCCGTGGCCTCTGGTCAGCAAACTCCGGGGAGTTCGTTGGCCGTTAAAAAGGGACCGAATAGGAAGGCGCCCTGAATGTTGCAGCGCGCCTTACCTGGAGGAGAGGGGAGTTGATCCCGGGAGGGGCCTGCTGAGGCGGCCAGCGCCGGTAGCCGTAGACCTGCCGGGTTTTAATCGGTGCGAGTCTGACATAACTCGCCCTTGCCCCCTAGAGCGTGTATGCGTTACCCCCTAGGCATTTCCCCCACGTCAAAAAAAAAGATAGCATTACCTTGCGTTGTAAGGACGTTTTACAAACATACATTTCATCCATATCCGACACAACTATATGTGGGTCACACAAACAATTGTCTCGTGCGGGATTAGAGCCCACGATGTCCGCCTAAACCAACACCTAGGCGACTGCGCCACGGAAACATCCTTATGTCGGGTACCACTTAAACAAAATTCTTACCTCCTTAGGTCTTTCAACTGTTTCATTTGGCCGTGACGTAGCGCGCGTTCCGCTGACGACATACTCTCTGGCTCGACGCTCTCCATCAGATTGTTGTCCTGGAAGGAGATTCATCATCGGTAAGGTAAAGGTATAATAAGTAAGGGTAAAGTTCACCACTCGGTAGCGTCATACTTCAATCCCTTGGAAATACACGGAGGAACATGGGGACGTCTTGGATACTTCGATCGCCGCCTTTCCCCGGGCGGATGAAACATTCTCGTACGTACTTGTCGTACTTGTCACGACCACTTCGTCACGGCCACGTCGTCACAGCCAACTTGTAACGATCCACTTGTCACAAGCAAATTGTCGCGACCAACTTGTAACGACCCACTTATCACGACCAACTTGCCACGAGAAAATTGTCGCGACCAACTTGTCACGGCCAACCCGTCACGGCAAACTCGCCTGCAGCAGCCCGCGCAGCTGGGCCGACAGCTTGGTCAGCTCGTAGAAGCGCTGCTCCTCGATGCCCCTCCGGCGGCACCAGTCGCGCCCTCCCCTCCCGTCCGCCTTCACCGTCAGCCAGGCGCAGTACAGCGAGAGTAGGCTCAACGGGTCCCCGTGGTCCGACTCATCCGGTCTCCTCGCGTTCTGAGGGCATATTATAAATAAATAAATAATTAATAGTTAATAAATATTTGGAGACATCTTTACACGTTTTACTTACATTCCTACAACAGCGGGGTGTCGGGTTAGTACCATGACCTCACAGAAGACCGGCGTAAAGGAGAAGTGGTGCACTTCTGCGTTTCGTCTCATGATTGCGGTAGCCGAAGCCAATACCTTGACAACTGCACCACTAAGTCCTATTAATGAGTCAAGATGCAAAAGCGGGAGGGAAGGGGGGACACATTAACGGAGACCGTACAGAGTAGCCCTGCAGAGTGAGTTACTTATATGTAAGAAAATGTATAACAGTGACAACATGGGTAAAGACCGTATTTATTAATTTATTTAATGGACGCCAACATAAATAAATAAATAAACCGTACGAAAAAGCTTGTATGTATGGTTAGTTGCTTTCACTCCATCGGCGAAGACTCCAATTGGTCTTACGCACCTCGCATTCGAAGTCTCTATGCGCCCTCGTGGTGAATATGGACCGAATCCCCAGGGCCGCGGTGAGCGCGAGGGCGGAGTCCCGCTTGTGGGGGGGCAGCGTGGCGCTCCCCACCACCAGCGCCTTCGCCAACGAGACTTCGACGGGCAGGTTCGCTAGGGCTTTGCCCAGTGGGGTGAGCTTCTCGTTTGAGGATAGAGCGCCCTGAAATGTGTTCAATTTACGACTGTAGACGATCGTTTAGAAGCGCTACGTAAGTTTAATTTTAACCGACTGCCGGATGATCATATGTGTCTACGTTCATGTATGCATGCGTGTATTTATGTATGTCTAAACCTATTGACGGATTTCAACATTTGACGTGTCTTAAAATTTGAATTTTTGCACATAAATGGACAAAAACGTAACGCGATCTTGTCTTGTCAACTTACCAACTACGTTAAGCAGCTGATGATCTCACTTATTGCAGGGAAATGTGTACCTGGGTAAATCTTAATATCCCGGAAATTATAAAACTTTTGCTAAGGTAATTTTGTCTGGTAGGTAGATCGTGGCAGGGCGCAACCGCGTCCAGGGAAAAGTACCTACTTATGTACGCACGTAATAACTTATACTTCTTTAGAAAAACAACTAAAAATTAATTTTATCATTAAACTTAAATTTTATCCCGTGTGCCAGTACTCCTAGTTTCTAACTAACATAAAAAAACATATTAAATGCAATCGATAACCGTTTAATTGAACAACCTTGAATCATAGGTAAATATCAAGAAGTTTCCATCGGTTGCCACGGTGACACCATGAAGGTATTTATTTATTTACTTAATCTTTATTACACTGAAAATTGTACAAAGGCGAGCTTAATGCTATATTGCATTCTCTACCAGCTAACCCTAAATAGAACAGAAACAAAATGTCAACGGCTGTCGCAAGGTAGTGTCGTTTCTAGGTGTAGCGCGTACAAAATGCCCCCTCACAATTTTACCCGACCGCGCCGAAAGGAGTGTACTTCGAAAGGCTCACGTGCTGCTTCAGCTCCAGGAGGGCGTTCTCCACCGCCTCTTCAGGGGGCGAGTCGAGGAACGGGAAGCGGCGCACGTCGCTCACGCCCAGCGAGCTCATCAGCAGCAGAAGCGAGGCGAGCGGCACGCGGCTCACCTCCGGAGCGCTGAACTGCTCCATATCCTCGTACTGCTGCTCCGAGTATATCCGGTAGCACACGCCCGGACCTTTGGAAAATATTTCGAGCTAAGCTATGCTAAGCTATGGTATGCTATGGTAAGCGATGGTAAGCTATGGTAAGCTACGGTAAGCTACGGTAAGCTACGGTAAGCTATGCTAAGCTATATCAAGCTATGCAAAGCTATTTTCGCTACCGGTGGTCGTGGGCTCAATTCTCACACGGGACTAGTTTTTGTGTTATCCACGGATAGTTTTAAATTGTAAATTTGCAGATGAATGAACAAAAACTTTCGGCGCTGCGGGATTCGCATCTGAGCCTTCTGGTTTCGCGGCCAAACGCTTTACCGACTGAGCCAAGCGGCCGATGAATTTGCGGCGCGAAAATCTTTACACGTACGAACGTTTTATTGCATTTTTAGCAATGCTTGGGCGCACACCACAATTGCTATGTGGTGTGCGCCCTTTATTGCATATAACACATAATCGTTCCGGATCTAGGCGTTCGTTTCCCAATTAGGGTTGATATCAGGCAAGCGGTCGGTCATAAATAATATAGCCAAAACCGCTTACAACATGTTTCACATGCTGTGCCAACCCCACCCAGGTGGGAAAAGGACAGGAGATGATGATGATGATAGTATCTTTACATGATGTCATTTTCATTATTGTTATGATGTGATAGTCCTAAACTAAACAAAGCTTGTACTTTGCGCACTATGCGTGGGTTACTGAAATACTTAAACGTACTATTCCTTTGTAAATTAATAGATATTATGGAAACATAAACACCCAGACCGTAGAAAAAAGCTATTTATCTAAATCACATAATATTTTTCCAGTAGTGGAGTTCGAACCCACTGCCTCTAGCTCCAGACATGACTCACGTTCACTATGCACTACGCCGGTTTGGTCGTCATAGTCACGTTTGGACGTACTTAGATCCAGTAACAGTAAAACAACTATTTTTTTATTTCTATGTTACCTGTTCTCCCGGCTCTGCCTTTCCTCTGATCGGCACTTGCTTTCGATATCCAAAACTCTTTCAGCCTCTGCATCTTCGTAGAGGAATCGTAACTCATTTCCTTAACCTTAAAACAAAAAGTTGTAAATAAAATAACCATCCATAATATATACTCTATCCAAGATTTGGTTTGTATTTTAAATTTTAGGGACACAAAAATCTTCAGTTATTTTGTTTTGTGTGACAATGTGGCAATCGAGCTGGCGGTTCACTTGATGGTAAGTGACAACCGCCGCCCACTGGACATTTGCAAGAATCGTGGGGTTGCTGATGCGTTGCCAGCCTATAAAAAAGTGGGCCCCGGCTACCTCACTCGCCAGGCAAAACACAGAAGTATAACACTTCCACTTCACGCCGATCTTCTGTGAGAACGTGCTACTCCCGCGGCTGTTGCGTGGCCTTACCACAGTTGGTAGGGCTTCGCATTAATTAAGTAAGGTATTAGATTAGAAATATACAAGGAAAACTTTGATAATACCACGATTTTAATAAAGGGATTTATATAAACATTTCCGTGGATTAAAATAAACTGAAAGTTCTGTTCATTAAAAATGGTATATTAACTAAAGGTCAATATACTTTGTTAGTTGGTTTTGCTTACTCCATCAATTATACATTTTTGCGTTTCCCATACAGTTACCTTGCCAGAGTCCACGACAAATCTTATCCCATCTATGGTAACGGATGTCTCGGCTATGTTGGTCGACACAATGCATTTTCTGACGCCTTCTGGTGGATAGTCGAACACCTGAAATTGTCACCCATGTAGAGTAATTATAATCAAGTTCATATAAAAGAATCCGTGCGGGAAAATGATTTGAAAACTGTACAACCTTTTGGTTCGAACGCGATTAATACTATTTTTATTAGAATTGGATACAATTATTATTAAATGTTACAATTGTAAAACATTGAGGGTACATAAGTCGAATGGTAGTGAGTATATACACAAGAGTTTCTTGTCGTCCCGTAGGATATACGCCAATATGTTTTCCGTTTTGTTTGGACATGATTTAACAAGATCGTAACATTTTAGCCAATTAATATAACACTCCAATGAATATGTTACATTTTCCAGATTGCCTGGGGGTAACATGCTACATAATGTGTCGTAATAGACTTTACTTACTTTATCCTGTTCGCTAAGCGATAGGCCGCTATGAAGCGGGAGCACAATCCATTTCTTAGTTTTCTCGGCATATTGTTGCGCGGCATCACATATAGATGTTATCTCTTGAACACCCGACATGAATATGAGAAGGTCGCCCCTTTCATCGCCTGTAATTAAGTACAATATTTGATAACAAGCAAGCCATAATTTAATTTAATTTATTTTACAGCTGTTTATTTTAAGCCACATTTTTATTTATTTTTTTACTATTTCATTATTTATAGTTTTAATTTTATATTTATTTTTATGATGTTCAACTGTACTTGCTGTGCTTATCTTTAAGTTATTGTTACACTTATACAAGTACTTATTGTTTCTTTTCTTTTTTATTATTAAGATATAGTGTAAACAGTTGTTGATAGGCCTTTTAAAAATAAAATAAAATAAAAAAATAAACATTAACTTCTAACAGACCGCCAACACAGTTTGGACGATATTAAAACGACTGGTGTCTCATATTAATATAATTACAGCAATGACAGGACAATAATTATGAAGATTTTGTTTTAATTCGTAAATTAAACACCATCCTTAGAAATGTATTGTATTTAAGGTGGTAGGTGTTGGGATTACCCAACCCGTTCCACCTAAAATTTGTACTTCTACTATTAAGTAGCAGTCCCAATTTTAAGTCCCAAAATTACTAGACCTGTAAAAACCTGTACGAAAACATTGTCCTACATTAAAGTAGTACAACATTATCCTGCATTGTAAGGATGTTTTACATAAATATATTAATATAAATTTCACCTGGATAAACAACACCCACATCCGAAACAACTATCCGTAGGCAGATTTTGGCATTTTTTTATTCATCTACTACTCACTTGGGTACTTGCTATCTATCAGCTGCATAATTTGTACATATGGCTGTGGATCAAGCCTGTCATCTCGTGTAGGCTTCTCTTCTATAAATATCGGTTTGTAATTTAAGTCTATTGGATACAATCTACCAGGCACCTGTAACAGAAAAAGATTCATACCGATGATGGCAATGCATAAGGCAATCTAGTGGAACATATAAAATTTGTAGATGAGGGAAAAGTATTATGCTGGTGCGAGGATTTGAACCAGCGTCGTCCGGGATATGTCCGACGCTATAGCCACTGAGCTAAACCGCATATCTTCACACCGAGGAAAATAATGATTTACCGAAGTTAATGATTGAGTCATTATTTTTAACGTTATGTTTCCCCAATTATGTAGTAACACGCCCAAATATTTTTAATTTAGTATTTACATTAAGAAACTATAAAAGCACAAGAAATACAGAATGCGCATCACCCGGTCTTATTGAAGAGTTCAGTAGATTGAATGCAATAGAGTCCATCAATAAAAAAAATCAAATTAACTTACTTGGATGACCACAGCAGACTCCGCAGAAAAATAATCCGCAAAAAGTTTAATGTTGATGGTAGCAGACATAAGCACTAGCTTTATATCATTACGATTATGAATGAGGCACTTGAGCACTCCAAGGAGGAAATCTCCCATTAAATGCCTTTCGTGTATTTCATCTAGTATGATAACATCATAATTGGGAAGGTTTTCTGATGACATCTAAAAATAAAACCTCTGTCATAGTCCTTTAGTTTCATTGCATGTATGCAAATATATTGATTGAAAAGAATTGATAATGTAAATTAAAGTATTATAAGGTTTCTTTGAACGATGGGCTCTGTGTTTCCAATATTAGAAAAAATAAAATAAATTTTAATAATTATAGTTACTAAACTATAAGAATTCCTTAGTGTTAAGATAAAATCAGAATTAATTTTCATATACTTTTGAATACTGTACCTGACGTAACAAAAGACCTTCAGTAATGAAACAAATTTTGGTGTCTGCAGATTTGCTTTTCTCAAATCTTATCTGATATCCAACCTTGCTTTCAAATTGTGTTAGAGTTTCAAAGGCTACTCTCTTTGACAATGAAACACATGCTATTCTTCTTGGCTGTGTGCAAGCTGGAAAAATTAATTTATTGCAAATTGAAAACTAGGCATAAAATTGGTGATCCCCTGTTATGTCTTGAGAATTATACAATTATAGGAGGTATAAAATTAATTTCTGCCTCATGTATAAGGTGTTTAAAAAAAAATAAACAGAATATCCACTAAAGTGAATTTGGGAATGCTTTGAATTGTCATGACCCCTCTATGTAGTTGCAATGAATTTATTAAAGAATCCCTATAGGAAAAGCACATTACATTTATTTTCTATGCTATATTTTTCAGTCAACAATAAACATTTTTCATGTTTTAAAAGTACTATTGAACATTGCAGGTTACATTCCTCGTTGTGACTACTCAACCGCCTCAACAAAAATAATTACACATTACTATGAAGATGGTCATAATCATTTTGTTCAATCATGGAACATTTTCTAGTTTTACATAGTCAACAAATCATTTAAGTGATTGCACTTCAAAAAAAACAATGTAACATATATACTATGTTGTTTTTATTGTTAAGTTGTTTTTTTTCTCATAAATCATGGTATTGCTGCAGTTAAAGTCAATTGGGCTAGCCAATTTAAGATCTTAAATAACAGTAATTACCAATATTCTGGAAGCCGGCATCATGTAAGTACTGAGGTACTTGTGTTGATTTTCCACAGCCTGTGTCACCAGCAACAACCACAACCTTTACATTTTTTACAGCTTCTTGTATTTCCGTTCTACAAAAAAAAAACATTAACAATTTTGAAGTTATCCAAATAGACAGTTACACTTTTGGGTTTCATACAGGATTCATGACATAAATATAGAATCATTCTCTGAGAGTTTGATTGCACCAGAATTGTTGCAGTTTTCCGTGGATGTCTTATTGCTGACCTACAGCTCAAAACCATAGTTAATTACATTACATTGTCCCTTAAACTATAGAAAATCATTGCATAGAATACATGTTTACACTAAAGATTATATCTAAGATTTAGATAATAAAATACTCAAGAAAAATATAAAGGACCTGTATTTTGCCACTGGCAAATCTCTTTGAGTTTGCCTAAGCTTCTTTAACTTCTCAAGCTTTTCTTTGTTTTTAAAATCAAGATACACAGAAACAACATTCAGAAGCGAGTCAAATATATTTTTGTCGAGTTTCTTCCTTACTCTGTCATCACAAACATTATCCATAAATTTTATATTTGTATTAAAATTAATACAATTGAATTTCGAAAATGTTAAGGCAATTCCTAGATCATTTTTAGTTATTTCAATATTTTCATTACCAAGCACTGGTTTTCCTGCTTTTCTCAATGTAGCCTCGTATTTTTTAACAAAAATCCAAAAGTCATCCAAATTGTTGGTAACTGTGTTAGTATCATTACTATAAGTGAAAATTTTATTTATATCTCGTTTGTAATCTAGAAAACTGAATTCGGTTTCAGCAGTCTCTACAACGGTTGATATATTGTTACTTTTTTTTAGTTTATTTCCTTCTTTTAACTCTCGGTCACCAGAACTTGACCGTCTTCTTTTATATGATTTTTGTTGAGAATACTCTGGCATTCGTTTCATTTTTCGATAGATGCGATGTGAAATTAAATGTACATAATATTTTGTACTTTTTCTACATGTGTGTTTAGTCAAAACAACTTTTTTTTTATAAATAGATTACTTTGTGAGTTCTCACTATTCCTCCAACCAATGTCATGTTGTTCTTAAAATTCTCCTCAGTTTTTTAACATTCACATTAAAAATAAAAATCAAAACATAACATCGTCGTTGACGTTCTCCTTATGCCAAATCTGACAGAGACAGAATTTTATTTGACATGGACAAACGTCAAATGTGGGTTCAGCAGTGTCTCATTATGAATTACCGTGTTGCAAGGGTAAAAATACGGTGTTTCTAGACAAAATTACGGTGAATCTGACCGTGTAAATTACCGTTTATTTTTTCATAAGAAAAAAAAAACATTTAAAAACAAATCTAGTCAAAACTAATTACTAACGAAAAAATTAAAATAACATGTGAAACATCAAACTCAACTCGCACACTAATAATACTAAAACAAAATATTAAACTTATAACCGTAAAATTTCTCTGTATTAATTTGAATTTTTATTCGAAGTTATAAAATTGAAATTGAAATAGTTCATAGATTTAAATGTTTTCTACGTATTTGTAACGCGTCTTAACTAGAATAAGAGACAACGTAGTAAATTTTACGTGACACTTATAAATTTCACTCTTTACGATATACAAAAAAGGACGACAAAAGATTGCATGGAGATAAACTTTTAGATACGGAGCATGTACTCTCTAATGAGCCTTTTGATTACTTTCAGAAAGAATCACGTGAGGTTCTGTTGAACGTTGCGAAGTTATTCTCGGTCCTCTCACTTTTCAACATTATACATGTTATTCAAGTCAATTGATAAATCCTTTTTGGTACCTATTCTGCACCTTCTTCGACGCCATGCTTATCACGATTTTAAGCATAATCATGATATATAAATTCGTGAATTGATGCTTTTCGTAAATCATTATTTTTTTTAATTAACTTAAGTGTTTAAACGTACTAGTTTCGCAGAATATTTTTTTCGTAGTATAAATTTCGTAGGCAGTTGGAGATATAGCGGAGCGGTCGTGCTCTCTTCGTACAACAGCTAGTGTTCTCCTGTTTTCATAGGTGGTGAATACAGTTATCAAACATAACATCTTACTATGCCTGTCATATATTTATTAATTACTTTATTACTTGATATAGGAATGGAATTCAAAGTACCTCTATTTGTATTGAATTCATTACATGCAAGGACTAAGTTGTTCAGAACAAGCGAATATTAATCGATATTCCAATAAAAAATGTGTCTTCACCAAGGCGCCCTCTAACGTCAATAAAGGTTTTCCATCGGCCATAATGTTCCGCCATTTTGCTTGATTGGGAGTGAACGTAAAATAGTGTTTCTATGTATTCTTACGCGGAACTTAGTTACTTTTTATAAAAATTAGTGTTTTAATACACTAATGGCTTGCTTAAATACACTTAAGTTAGAAATCAAGACCTTAGAGCAAGTGTTTCCAAAAAACCATGAGCGGTTTCAGATAATGTCAGCGAGTGTGGACGAATTGACCTGCAGATTCGTTGGCAAAAATGGAAAGAAATATGAAATTCATGCAAATATTACCGTAAGTATTACTTTTATTATACTGCGAATTGTCGTTGTACTTGAGATTCCAATGTGAGGTTAAACCTTTACGTTTATTGATTACCTTTAGTTTGGACAAAGAGCCGTTGTTTATGAGGGCAGGGCTGTCAACAGAAAGTATACGGAAATCAATTACTGCGATTTTAGTTGTTAATGCAAATAATATAACGTTTTACTTTGCTAAACATAGCATTGTTTGTTTTTAAACGTGGTCATAGGCATGCGTTACGTCCGATGTTATTGATTGCGATGTGTTGACTTCACAATGCATGTACGAGTCCATGACGAATCATTCTTTATCGATCATTCAAGTTTCAGTGCTCTTTTCTGTATGAGTACAGCTATGTTCTATCGAGGGTAACATCTGTTTTGTTAACATAACGGTACTAACGCGCAATTTTGGCACAATGGCTCTTAGTCATACTCTATACCACTTTTTTTGCATGAACATTATCGCTTTCACGACTTCTATATAACTTTTCAGAAAGCTACTAAAATTGTGGGTCTATTTCATTTACACTACCAAGTTAAACTGTAATGCTGTAATGCTTAGCACTGTTTACATTTTTTTTACAGATTATTTATAATTAACATTACATACATGTATATTCATATATATTTAACTATAACTACACATTTTGTTGGAGTCTGAATATTATGATGTTACTTTATTTTTTGTTAACATTATTCCATCTCTGCAGCGTCAGATCTGTAACAATTTTTGGTAGGCCCTATTAAAGCTTATTCAAGGTGGGGAAACAATCCACAACTAGTGTCATTTAAGCTTAGCAATGTGCCAGAAGAGTTGATAAATGGTTGCTAAATTCTATAATAGCAACACAATAATTTTTCTTTGACACAAAATTCAGAATATTTTTGTACTCCAGATATGCCACTACGATATTGATTTTCAAAATCAATCACACATTTTGAATTCTTACATCTTGTAAATTTAATATTAATGACTTTTGTAAATAGATTATATTAATTTTGTTTAAACTGATTTGTTAGTTGGTTTATTTAGATGCACATGTTTTAAGTGTAGTAGGGCCACGCAATATATATTATAGTCTATGTTATACTTGTCTAAGTTTAAGTTTTGTCTGTTGAGTGAAGTAACCGGACTCATTGAATTAAGAGGTGGCAACAGATTTTCATGCATATGGGTATTGAAAAGGTGTTGCCACCTCAGTTGCCACTTAAGAACAAATGGACCACTTTAAAAAAAAAGAATGTGTAAATCCATAAGGATGTTATATATAAAAAAAGGTTTAAAAACTGAAAACAATTTGATAAATCTCTATGAATTATTATTAATATTTTGCATCATTGGAATGTTTTCAGTATGTAAATATAGTATTTATTTTGCAGTAGCACTAAGTTAATATTTATACTGTTACTTTATAAATATTAAGTGCCACTGCAAAATCCCTATATTTATATGTATACATTCTTAAATTGTATAAATTAATAATATTTGCATAATATCTATATTATAAGCAAAGTAATTGTGAATATTAATATCAAAATCTTAATGTCCTCAATAATTTTTTATTTCCATAATAGTGAAAGTACAGTACTCTATATTATTTTCATAACATATATTAGAGAAAATTAATTGATTTTGTTTTAGAATGATAATGACATATCTAAGTATGTGACTCAAAATTCGCTTCTTAAATTGGCATATTTTGATTTCATTTTATCTAATATTGATTTATTAATCCATTGCATCATTTGTATAACAAAATCATGATTTCCATACATTTTAGGAGACATACCCTAACACACCACCGGTGTGGTTTGCTGACAGCGAGGATCCTATTGTGACAAATGCCGTTCAGATACTTAGCAACACACAAGGCAGAGATAATCATGTAATAAATCAGGTAGGTCCCATTATTTAAAGATTTTTGTAAATATTTTATTAAGCAATGCTTAGATTGTACTGTCCTGATAGATAGATCATAAGTTAGTTCTAATTTATCTATCTAGATGGGACTTATACTATCTATAGGACATATGTTATCTTTCATTATTTTGACTATTTAATTTTTTCTATTTAAGGTGGGTATATTATTACGAGAATTATGCAAATTACATGGTGTGCCAGAGCCTCCAGACTTGGACTCATTATCACTCCCCGTCCATCCTGCACCACAACAAAGGTAATTTACACCTATAAGTATATAGAGTTTGTTTGATATATACTATACTATCAATTTACTGTTGCCAATTGTCATAATAAATGTAGTAAGAAAATTGCCAAAAAATAAATTTTGGAATACTACCAAGTTGATAGTGGCAAGTACTTACAAGATGAGAAACTGTGGATTGAGTAATTTTTTTGGATATATTTGCATAAATCGATGGACACATTATATAATTATTGATTAAAAAAAATAATTATGTATAGCTAAAAAGATTATTATCAAAGTACTTGTGTTACGCAAGTGATACAAATGATACTGTGATTTCATGGTATCATGTGGCTGCTTAGCTTTTGTAGCCCCAATATTGCAGATTTATCTTGTATATTGGATCAGTTAAATGTTGATATGATAAAAAAAAATAATTTTTAGAGTACCAAGTGTCACATCAAATGGAGCAGAATCGGGCACAGAAGAGGATGAAGAGATGGCAGCCGAGGAGGACGAGTCTGAAGGAGAGGATGACTTGCCGTTAGAAATGGTTGATGATGCAGGACGCAGTGGCAAGGTAATCCAGACATGTGTAAAAATATTATTACAATAAGTGACAAAACTGCACTAAAAACAATATGATATATTTAGCATATTAAAGTCACAACTTTTTTTTGGATAAGTTCCTTTTATACTAAAGTATTCAGAGATCACATCAACTTATATAAATATATCTTCATGGTATTTGTGCTATTGAAATAAATTACCCAATGTTATTTACTTAATATAACTTTAAAATGTATATATTTGTAGCTACCACCCAGCCAGACTTACGAGTATATTGTAGCACAAATTTAAAGCTCAATAGACCATGCCTTGTGAAATTTTATTTCTTTGTTTCACCACTTGCTGTTTAAGTCTTCGGTAAATAAAGTGTTGCTGTTGAAATGATCGTTATTGGTATTAGCGTAATAAATTTCTTTTCTAGGATGTCTCGGTAGCGCATTGCTAAGCTATTGGCTTCGGCGTCAGGTGTCGTGTGTTCGATTCCCACACGGGACAAGTATTTGTGTGACCCACAGATAATTGTTCTGGATCTGGGATCTCCAAGGAGGGTTGATGTCAGACAGGTGGCGGATTGTAAAAAACATAGCCAAAACTGCTTACAACATGATTCACATGTCCCAACCCCGCCTAAGTGGGATAATGATGATGATGAATTTCTTTTCTAGGATGATATGGAGACTGAGCACCTGGCAACATTAGAACGGCTGCGCCAAAACCAACGACAGGACTACTTGTCTGGCAGCGTCTCTGGCAGCCTGCAGGCCACTGATAGACTTATGAAAGAGTTGAGGGATATATATCGTTCTCACTCATTTAAAAACAATATGTACTCTATAGGTGAGTTGATATTAAAATAAAATAAAATAAAAGTTTAGTTGATGCATATTGCTCAAGACCATATTGCACATACTTATGCTCATTAATTGAGAAATGCAACCTTGATTGCTTTGCTTGATTAAAATGTGATACAAACATTTATTTATATTTTTGACAAAGAACAATCTTCCTGCAGAATTAGTGAATGATTCCCTATATGAATGGAATATAAGACTACGTTCAGTAGACCCGGACAGTCCGCTTCACAATGATCTGCTGTTGTTGAAGGAGAAAGAAGGCAAGGACTCCATACTGCTCAACATCATGTTTAAAGAGACATACCCATTTGAACCACCCTTTGTTCGCGTCGTTTATCCTATCATATCAGGTAATTTAATAAATCTTTTCTTAACTGAAGCTCTTAATAAATTTATTAAAATATGGTTACTAATTGTGTGGTAAGCGTTAAGTAAAATCACAAGAGAAAATTAAATATCCACCTTGTGGTTGCAAAGTAATTTCCATGTTATTCTAATCAATATTAATTGAAAATTTTTAATTATAAAAGGAGTCTTTATATTAGAATACGTAATAATAAAAATGTTTGTAATAATATCTTTTCTGTGAAAATGTGCTATGAAGGTGATGGATGCTGGTGGCCCTGGATCAATCTCCTTGACAATATGTGGGGTAGTCTTATGTTCAGCTGTGGACTAAAATGATGATGACGGTGATAAAGATGCGTGTTTTGTATATAATCACTGTATATACTGCGCGTATATGAACCATATACGTAATATTATTTAAGAATAGTTTAATATAACACATATGTTATTGTATATTATGAGTGTCATGTGCAGTGTTTACCTGTGGGAAAAATATTTTTTATTGAATTTGGAAAACCGGTAGCTTTAATTTCTATCGTGTCCGTTGTGTGATCATAAGCACACATTTTTTGTAATTTGATATAAGATGCTGCCCTAGGATAAATTTCAGGAATTAAAACATACTTGAAATAACCCTTTGGGTTTTGGTTACCTCTCGTATGTACGCGATACACATTATTGAATTATACCTGTCCTTGTATCTTGTGTTAACTGATGTTTTTGCTTTCATTCCCGAGACTAATAAAGCTTCATCTGACGCAGAACCGGTGGGCTAGCCAGAACCCACGGGTTTGGGCCCTCCGCTGTGGGTAGGGCCACGCATGTGCTCATGCGTGCGTTTAACTATGGTGTGTCATCTAAGGGCCATCGAGGTTCGGATGGAAACCCCGATGGCCGTCGACTGTGCAACTAGCTAATCGGTGGCTGGGAGCGGTGAGAACCGCCCGGGAACGCGGGTGTACTTTGTACGCGCTGTGTTGGTCTCGCCGTGCTAGGAGGCGAGGTCGCACTAGTTGTTGTTGCACTAACTGTGGGTGTAGTGTTACCCGGCGGGACCCCCGGCGGTGGGTCCGGGCCAGTCCTGTGACCATGAACGCTGTAAAGGGTTCGAAACGTCGGTAAAAGAAATTTAAAAATAAACGCGATAAATCCGTAAATATAGTTTAATTTGAGACTTTTGATACTTCTTTTTGGCTAACTGCAATTATGGATGTTCCCTGATTCCAGGTGGTTACGTGCTGGTTGGCGGTGCAATCTGTATGGAACTGCTGACGAAGCAGGGCTGGTCGTCCGCTTACACAGTGGAGGCTGTGATAATGCAAATCGCCGCCACCCTGGTAAAGGGCAAAGCGAGGATCCAGTTCGGCGCCACGAAAGTGGTGACGCAGACGCAGTACAGCCTAGCGCGCGCCCAGCAGAGCTTCAAGTGCCTCGTACAGATACACGAGAAGAATGGTCAGTGGTTATTTATTTATTTAATTCTTCTTGGAGCCTTGTCCCACACTAAGGTAGGTACACCATATTCCTTCCACTTTTCCCTATCAGCATCGTATGGCAGTAAAAACCAATAACCACTGCCACCTACAAGATTGATTATATTCTTCTATATTTTCGAAAAACGTTCCAAATAAAAATTTCATGTGAACTGTGATATAAATAGTTGTCTTGTGTGGGAATCGAACCAATGACCCGCGACGCCGAAATGAATATCTTGGCAACATCACCACGGAAACAGATGACTCCGTGGCGTTTTGCCATACAGATGTCAATTAAGTCTTAGCTAGCATTAAATCAATTCATGTCAAGAGGAGCCTTCATAATTAATGTATTCACTGTTCTTCAAGAGTCAACCGACATGGACTGCAATGATAAATCTTCATTTAGCACACCAAAGTTCCCTAATCACTAATGTTTCAGTTTCGCCTTCGATTGTGTGTTCAGTTTAACATATCGCAATCTGTACATTTCAGGTAAGAGTCGTGATATTGTTCGGGCGCTTGCTTGTAATTTAATATACTTTAGCAACATTAGTTCGATATCCGGTGTTGGCACCAATGAAATTGTTAATTTTAAGTGCAGACATCACGTACTCTGCGGTGAAGGAAAACATCGTGAGCATAATTATTTTCGAAATAATTACCAAACAATATTTCGAATGTGAATTCCACACCACTCCGCAGTGGAGTCACATGGTGGCCTAATACTCTCTGTACAGAGCAGGCCTTTCAAATTCAAAATTACTATATTTAAACAGGCGCTTGCGCGTCCTTATGAAACGTCGTATTTAAGCACCAGTTACCACCGGTTCGTAAGGCACTTTGTGTTGAGAAGCTACCAGCAAGAAACTCAACAATTGCTCTTTTTTAAAAAGGGCATATTTTAGCCTTCTTGAGTATCAACAGTATTATCTTCACACATTAGCGTATACATATGCTTTAGTTTACTTTTAATTTTGCCATATTTATATAATTTTGGGTCTAAATTGATCAAGTGGCAAACTTAATATCGACTGTCGGATTTTATTATACATGTGCACACTTTGCCCCCATAAGCTACATATTATGTTACTTTGTCCTTATTTCTAGTGTTTAGTATGTGTCTGTCACTATTATGTTGTATTTTATATATATTGTCTGTTACTTTGTGGGACATATAGAGGCTGTTACTTTACTTTTTCTACTTTTAAATTTCAGGTTGGTTCACACCGCCCAAGGAGGACGGTTAAATGCGGCCGGTCGATCGCCGCTTCTGTTAAGATTAAGTTTAACGTGCGAAATTTAGCAACGCCCATATGACACAGACAATCGTGAAGAAATTCGACAAGTGGCACGACGAGTTGAATTCGCGTGATAGTCCTTATGTAATTCCATTATTTGTTTCTCGGCGGGGCGCGTAGTGGCGGGAGCGTGTAACAACCAGGAGGGGCGCACGGGCACCAATAATCCCATGTTAGTGCTGCTAGAGTGCGTGCAAGGCGTTCATGAGAGACTTTATAAGACTTATAGGAAATGTTTAATGTGTAACGTTTTTTTGTAATCATTCACTTTCTCAATAAACGTTAACGATATGGTAGCCCTACTAGACGTACCGGAGTGTGAAGTCGGAAAATTCTTTGCATTTCTTTTTAGTTATTAAAAAATAATAATAAAAAGAGGAAAAAACCTGTGATTTGTATTGGTGGTGTTTATTTTGCTCTTGCAATATGTCCGCTTTTAATGCATGGTTTGGATTTTTCATTTGAACCCTGTACAGTTTTGAGGTTTTATATTAAGCTTACCATGGAATCTGCGATGCTATTTCTTTGATTGAAATCAAAAATTGATGTTTCAAAACTACAAGTTGATCTCACAATAGTGAATACATGTGTAATAAACTCTATTGTTGCCATTATTAATGTCTATAAAAACCTTCTCAGTAAATTTGATTATATATTTATCCATACATAAATATCCATGGTCATTTTTAAATATGTTAGGAATGCATAAGACATGCAAATTTTAAATGCGCCTCTGAATTTCATCAGTCTTTAGAAGGGAGCGATTCCTACATACAGGGACATTACCCTCTTTATCATGCCGTAGGCTAAATCAGTTTTAATCAGTAATGTACAGTTGACAATGTTGTTTTCCTATTTAAAGCTCAATTTCTACTTTAAGTCTCAACAGTACACAGTCAGGCGACTTCATACACAGGCGCATTTAAATTTGACGTGGTTTATGAAGCAAAGTAATATTAATTCTGTGTTTTCAATGACAATGCATATATGTAACATATAAAGTATGTATTGAAGAGGAAAACAGCTATTCAGATAATGATTTTATTGACTTATCTTGACATATAGAAGCATGTGTCGTTCTCTGTTTTTACTTCAAAAATATTTTATCTTTGGTATGTAGTATATTGTTAAATATTTTTTTTCTTTGAAATTAACAAACATTACATACAAACAGTTTCATATTTAAATTTATGAAATCATTTGTCTTAAATCGCTTGTAGTACTAAAATATTTTGTACATAGATATCTTCTCAAACCAATATTTCTTGACAGCATACAATGGACACTACAATGGGTTTATGTTGCTGTTGTGCATCATTGAACTGTTTATATTCGGTAGAAAATAATGTAAAATAAGCCTTTCTTTTTAATGAAATATAAAAAATACGTAAAACATTTATTGAGAAATCAGTTTTTAGTCTTTAAACATTCAAATAATTACAATAATTTACAATTATATATATACCAATGAACGTGTTAGTATTTACTTACAAATATTGCTTCGAATACACAAAATATGTTCATCCATAATTTCATTTTTTCATACACTATAGCTTTGACTTTTTACTTTTATTATATTCCAATAATGTTTTCAAACTATCAACATGTAATTTGCTTCCTGGTTCATTAATTCTTCTGCAGTATTCCTGTTGTGACATGTCTATGAACCATTCTTGTAACTTAGGATATCTAAAATTTTAATTCGACTAAGAACAATATTTTGACAGTTCTAAATGATTTCCTCAAGTTTCAAATTTTAGTTATTATTTCATAAATACGAGTAAAAGATATGTATATAGTTAGTGTCCTATATATTAAATAGGTAAAAATATTCAGTAATTAATGTATTAACTTAAGTTGTGCCATTTACTATAATTACCATATGATTATCATAGTAAGTAAATAATAACTGACCGTCTAATTGTGTTTTAAAGATCACAGAAAAACTGTAAAAGTATAGAACCTGTATAGGAAATGTTCATTTTGGGGTATTATTTTGTCAAATTTATATTTATGTAAAAAAGCGTCAAGAAGCGAGCTGGCTATTCTGGTGGTAAGTGGTAATCGCCGCCCATGTACACCTGCAACACCTGTAGGGTTGCAGATGAGTTGTCACCTTTTAATAAAGTGGCCCCCGGTTACCTCAATCACCAGTCTAAAGAAAGAAGTATAACGCTTCTACTTCACGCAGGTCTGGTACTTACCCGTACGGACCTATCCATTCTTGCAACAGCGAAGACTAGCGTGGTCTTATCGCTAACTAACAAACTACAACTAAATAACAAACTATTCCAACCATTCCGATTCTTACTGCGGACAGTCCTTTAATTTACCTCTTTCCATCTATAGGGTGCAATCCATTTAATGTGGACATTGTCGTAATAACACTGATGTCTGCAATGGTAATGACGTCTTCCGCCAAATACTTTGTGTTGCTTAAGTATGCTTCAAGTATTCTATATGCGTCGTCAACGTTCCTTATCATGGATGGTGATATTTCTGTCAGTCTCCCGCCGTATGTAGGGGCCTGAAAAATGTAAAGAACTGTGGAAAAAATAGTTTTATATGCATGTGCGAGATCTATAAAAGTATTAAACATAGTAAAACAAAAATATAATGAGAAGTATAACAAGTTTACAAGTAAATTTTGATTGCATTTGCGATATCGCCTTGTCCTGAGTATTACTTTGATGAATACTTAAGCTATTTGGTTACTGCTTATGCATATTAGACCATAAAAGTTGCCTGTGTTATAAGAAAGAATCGCATCCGTCCAACAGTGAAGCTGGCCTCAAGGTGTGTACAAAAAAACTGGGTATATCGTGAAAAGTGCACAGTGGTGTAGTGGATTTCCAATCAAGATAGCATCGATGGTGTAACGAAAAAAAATTATTTGGCTGTTAATCTCGCTGCACAAATTTAGGGTTTCAACTTGGGTTTCTAAACGCGGCAATCGAGGGATACAATATGAGACAAAAATAATGTTAGTCTCTCTATGCTTGTCACACGGACTGAAAATAACCCAAAATCTTGTTTATACCGATTTCCTATAAATTTGGCTTTTGAAAAACAACTTTCATTATACGTAATAGGATATAAAAATGTATTCTATGTATCCCTCGATTGCAGTGCCATATGAATTTTTCTTCAACCACAGAACCATACCATATTGCAATCCTGCAGAGTTGAAAAGACATAGTCCTGCCTTACCATGCGCTGCTGGCCGAATATGACGAGACCCTACTCTCCATTTGGATTAATAGTCCGGAGCCTCCGAAGGGCTGATTAAATTACATAAAATATTACCATTATGGACCTGAGTCTGGGGAACAGAACACCACAATCGAAAAACAGCCTCTGGTTTACAGTAGCACGCGTTCTCTTGTCAGAAGGGTATAGAGATTCGTGCTCCGGTCTGCCGTACTTGTCGAGGAGGTAAATGATAATGGCGTGGCTGTAAAAATGGATTGAAAATATTCTTCATAGCTGCTTTTATAATTGAAATCATAACGTACATTACTTTGTAGTGCACAGAAATGTCAACAATAATTTACAAGACACATTTTGAAGAAAATGTGCATACGTTGATGATCTCTGCATTACTTCCTCATTTTATTGTGAATATTATATCCCGTTTTAAATTTGTACTAGGTATGTAACTGTTATTCACCTGTCAGCCAAGAAAAAATCATCATCCTCCAATAACGGAACAGTTCTCATTGGGTTCTTCTAAAACATGAAATAGAAACTTCATTAATATAATTTTACACATTTATGCATTCTCGTGAAAATAGCCTTTTAATATATTACTTGTACTGTTGTTTACATGAACATATTCATTTTCTTTAAAATAGCCTAGCATCTAACTTGTAACTATAAAATACCTGTGTAATTTTATTACCTTCGTTAATTCTGGCGTGTCTTGTTCCCTTAAGACGGGGTTTACTTCCTTCATATTTAGATTTAATCCAAGTATATCGGCTACCATCATCACAGCGCGTGCCGGGGGACTACCATCAGTTTTATAAAGCAGAGGAGGCATGTTGATCTGAAATACAATTAAAATAAATACAATTTAAAAAAAGGAATTGAAAATATCAACAACAATGAAATAACAAACGTCAACAATTAATTTTATTACAGTTAATAATAATAATAAATAGAAATTACCTTAAGAGTTCCTTAACACTAAGTAAATTCCTCCGGAAAATAGTAAATTGTTCCTAGTGGATAGAGCGGCTTAGGTACCTACTATTTAGTTTTAAACTGGAATGTTTAGTATTCTTTGCAAATGTTTATTGACTTTTCTTTTGCCACGAATAATATAAAAAAGATTATTACCTTAATCGCATATAACGTTTCTAAAATAACCTTTGTCCGAACAGCGCAATTGTTTGTGGCCTTGTTCACTAACTTGTTGTATTTATCTACATATTTTGTCAGACAGCTGGTTTTCTAACGATAACTTCAACTCGCTTTGTGTTAAATTGTCAGCGCCTGGAAAATTGGAGAAAGCAATAAGTTCACGCAGTGACTATGTACAGTTTTCAATTAAATTCAATACAGTCAGCGTGACCCATCTGAAATCGTTCGGAAGATTATTTATTTGATATTTGATTGTTGATATCGATATAGCTATATTTCTTTAGCGTGACAAAAGAAAAATAACTAAAAATGTTATCCCCTGTGCCATTACTCTTTATTTGTGAAAACACATTAAATACAATTATTAACGGTTAAATTCAATAACTTACTGTGTTAGGACCTCTCAATAGTGAAGAATGTTATTCCTTGCACGAATGGGCATGTCCACCCGGGTAAGTTCCACGACCTCACAAAAGACTGCCGTGTAGTGGATGTGTTATCTTTCTGCGTTTCGTCTGGTGAATGAGATAGCCGAGGCCTACTTTATAAGGTGGCAACGCATCTGCAACCCAGCGAGTGATGCAATTGTCAAGGCGCGGCGGTTATCACTTAACATCAGGTCAACCGCTGGTGCTTGGTTGCTATTTTTTCACATTAAAAAAAAACCTTGGAATTACAGATAAATATCAAAAAGCTGTAATTGGTTGCCATGGTAATAAAAACAGTTGAGCTGATGAAGTTGGTTGTAGTCGCTTTTTGGCTGTCGTTGCGTGCACGCATCGTAAAAATTTTACTTTTAATTTTACCCTTAAAATTCTTTTCAAACGAGGCAAATATGAGGGATATACATTCAATTAATTTTAATTATGTCGCACAGTGAAGAAATCATTATGAATAATAAAGGTGAAGAATCATAACATAAAAGCTAATCTCAATTGAGTACAATAAACGTGTACGCTGTACAACTGCGATAAATAATTACATCAGCGCACAACAATAATTCCATTGAAAATAATAATTATGTTATACATAAATTATACATATTATCACAGTGATGTAATACAAACATTCGTTTACGAAATATCCATGTAGAATAACATAGGTACGTTTTTATAATAATTGCAACATTATGATTAATTATTTTGGTCGATTTTACAAAGGAAACGAAAGGAATTTATAATATGAATTTGTGATGATTTGGCCAAAAATGAAAGAATATATAAACAAGCAATTTACTATTGTTTATTTGCATTTGTTAAAACGGTTTTGGATTAAGTGTAACACTTTATGATGACTCCGTGGCGCAGTTGCAAAGGTATAGGCTTCGGCGTCGGGGGTCGTATTTTCGATTCCCGCACGAGACAACAATTTGTGTGACCCACAGACAGTTGTTTCACATCTGGGTGTTTGCCTTCGTGATATTTATGTTTGTAAAAAGTCCTTACATCACAGGATAATGTTATCCTAAAGTAAGGTAAAAAAAAGAAAAAAACTATATATATTATGAACGAAATCGATTTATTTTCAATAAAAATAATGTGAGGATAATATAAACTAAAATATAGGTACTGTGGAAAGCTCACGTAACAGTCTTCGCTGATGTAAGAATGGGCGGGTCCATTCGTATAAGAGTACCATGACCTCACAGAACATCGGCGTGATCTCGAAGTGTTATACTTCTACGTTTCGTCTAGTGAGTGAGGTTGCCGGGGCCCACTATTAACAGCTGGCAACGCATCTGCAATTGTACGGATGTTGCGAAGTTCATAGTCGGCGGATAACACTTCACTTAACATCAGGTGAATCGCCAGCTCGTTTGGCATCTTTTTACATTAAAGAAAAAACTAAAATATAGTAGGTATTGGAATATTATTTTTTTAGTAAGGGACGTTCGAAAATAAGTATGAGACAGATTCAGCGTAATGGGTACGTCTTATCGCTTCGGCCAACATCACAGATATGTCCACGGTTTGCAATTTGGGACACAGCTTCATGTGTTTCTCTTGCGGTATGGTGTTAGTGACCACCAACGCCTCCAAACAGGAGTTGTTTATTTTGTCTATAGCGTTGCCCGCAAGGACACCGTGCGTCAGAATGGCGTAGATTTTGTGCGCCCCCGCCTCCCTCAGTTTCTCCGCGCCCTTCACAATAGTGTCACAGGTGTCCGCCAAGTCGTCGACCATGATCGCCGTTCTGCCCGTCACGTCGCCGACCAGTACCGTTGATTCTTCTCCGTTGGCCCTCTGCCTCTCCTTGTGGATGATGGCGAAGTCTATGTCCAGGTTATCGGCGATGGACGTCATCCTTTTTACGCCGCCAGCGTCCGGCGACACCATCACGCTGCTCCTCCACTCCGGTATGTTGTCTTTAATCCACTTCGTGATGGCCGGCTCTGCGTACAGGTTGTCCACGGGAATGTTGAAGAAGCCCTGGATTTGGGAGGCGTGTAGGTCGACCGTGATCACGTGGTCCGCGCCAGCAACCGAGATTAGATTAGCGAGGAGCTTCGCCGTTATGGGCGCTCGGCTCTTCTCCTTCTTGTCTTGCCTCGAGTACGGGAAGCATGGTATGACCGCCGTGACACGGGAGGCCGAAGCTATTTTGCAGGCGTTGATCATTATCAGAAGCTCCATTAGATTGTCGTTTATCTCCCCGCATCCACTTTGCACTATGTACACGTCCTCGCCTCTAACTGACTCTCCAATTTCAACATTTGTTTCTTTGTTACTGAACTTTTTGGTGGTGGCCCGGCCCAAATCTAGACCGAGACGTTCGGTGATTTTCTTCGCAATTTCTGGATGAGAGCTCCCTGAGAACACTTTGATGTTTGGCATCCTTCGTTCTTGCTTGTTTTCTGATAAGATTTTATTCTTTTCAGTGTTAGACTTTTCTTGTCGTTCCTCCGTTCTCATTAGACTGTTTAGGTTCACTGTAGTGACTTCACTGTGTAACGAATAGTGGCGAAATGGACAGTCGTTTGCTTTGAAAACAGATTTATCTGAGTTCACCTCGGGGTCGGGTCGGTCAATCGGTATCCCTTGGAGTGTACATAACTTTATCGGCGTCTAAGAGTTAATTGCTTATCTTTGTAATAAATGCTGTCATTGCGGCGATCACACATGAAGTTGTACAGGATATTCCTGATTAAACGATTGCATAACCATAAATGTTTTACATCTTTACAAATAATTAAATGTAAATAATATAAAGTACTATTATTATAAATAAAATAATTGAAGTACTATTCAAATTATTTACATTTATTATAATACGATGAACAGTGAAGTATAAATATATATGTTTGTATTAAATATAACGTTATACATTTGTAACTTTACATTAGTCACATTTAAGTAGCATAATTATTATCGAATAAGACGTTTAAGTAAATTTTAATTTAATCTCCTGTGTTTCTTTCAATTGGCACAAATCGATGGATGTCGATATTCTTTTGTGATTATCGTAATTATTCAGCGTCTCGTCGAGTCCGTATATGTTTATCTCTTCGATATTATTTGCCCAAAGCGCACCGTTTGTGTCGCACATAATTTCGTATCCATCACCGACCGCACTTATAGACAACTCCTCGTCGTTTGCTTGCATATTTATAGTCAAATTAGTTGACGTAAAAATACTTCCTGTAGCTTCCCATTCCCATTCAGTGGCATTTTTTGACGAGTTTGTAGATCGTAATGCTGCTATGAGGGTGAATCTTGAATTCAACCTTGTTTGTTCCGCCGTCTCGCTGACATTCTGCAAGAATGAGATATCGTTGTTAGGTGATGTTATAAATAATCTTCCAAGTGCCAATACCAAGAAAGCTTAAAAAGCTCGCTGAGCGACTTTGAGGAAGTACAAAGTTCCAAAGATGTTCCACTAGATGGAGTGACGACCTGTGCAAATGTGCGGGAAGTCGATGGATGCAGGTGGCTCAGGTTCGTACTTCGTGCGAGTCTATGGGGGAGGCCTATGTTCAGCAGTGGACGCAAACAGGCTGAAATGATGATGATGATAGCAAGCTTGTCAGGTAAATGCTATGGTACGGTAATGTGTGTATGGTACGGTATTACTCGTAAGATGGGCTATGCGGAAAGCTAAATAGTTGGGTGGTCATCAATTTTAATACTTTTGAAATGTCCAAAGACACAGTAATTATTTAGTGTGTCCCGTTGGATTCTCTCATTTAAGAAAAATATATTGTTTTAATTCAACTCACGCAACTAACCTTTTGTAGAGGAATTATCGAACCTCCACGGACTAAAATTAGGAAATCAGCGTAAGTCGTTGCCATGGTGACGATCTCGCCAACCGACGCATTCAGCTTTAAGCCGCCCCACAGCTCGTACCAAGTCCCGGTTGGCATAGAAATATGGACGTGCGTTTGGCTCGGCTGCAAATTCGGCACGATCAGCAGGTCGTTGCCCACGTTAAATTGTGTGTTCACGTCCTTCAGCTCTGATACACTCGGGTACTGATAGAACATTGGTCGCAAAAGCGGTCCCTCTTGAAGAACTGCGTAGAAGTACGGCGACAGACTCAGCCTGGTGTTGAGTGCGCTGTTTATGTAGGCTCTGTGAGTTCCGACGAATTGCAATGGGTCCCTCGCTGTCGTTTTGGAGTGGATCTTGAGAGTTGGGAAGAACGACGCGGCCATGTACCATTTGACGCACAATTCAGCGTGCCTGTCAATGTCGAAATCCTCATTGTCACCGCAAACTGGAGACGACCAAAACGAATGTCCGGAAACTCCACCGAGGGACATGGCTGTAAGCTCATTGTGAAGCGACGTCCACGACGTGGCAACATTTTGTCGGTTTATGGCCACCCCACCGTTCATCCACTGGCTGGTCGACCATTTCGGTATTTCCCTGTCGAATATTTTCTGCGAGGCGTTGATAAAACTGTTACCGTACAGATTGTGCTTGTATATGTGTTTACCGCCGTCATTGGGAAGTGTTAGATTCCATTGAGGCGAACGGTTGAAGGCCCCCTTAAAATTCTGCAAAAATTATTAATGTATTTGCATTCCATCTTCCCATCAACACATTAGAAATTTGAACGTATTAAATTTCTTGGTATGTTCACGCAGAGGTCTTTGCTGTTGCACGAATAGGCAGGATCATCCGGAGAAGTAATACGACCTCACAGAAGACCAGCGTGAAGTGGAGCTGTTATACTTCTGGGTTTCGTCTCGTGATTGAAGTAATCGGGGCCCGCTTTATTAAAAGATGGTGACGTATCTGCGACCCTATGCATGTTGCATATGTCCATGGGCGGTGTTTAACATCAGGTGAACAAAACAAAAGATGATGGTAACTAATACGATGTTACACTAGTATTTATGATTGTATATTTGTGTAAATTAATGATTGTTAATTTGTGTTAAAATTTGTGTTTATAACACTTATAACAATGTCAACAAATAAGGTCTATTTAAAATGTATTGAGATGTGTTTTGTTTCGATCGCTAACTTGTAAAATACCTTAAAGAGCAGAAGATCTGATATAAAGTAATGGTTGGGCATTAATCAGTCCATCAGTTACCCATTTTTTATGATAATACTATTTTAATAAGAATATTGTTAGTAATAGATTCTCTATTATTTGTATTAGTATTATAAAAAGTAACGTACCTCGTTAAAGTAAGGTAAAAACATGGCTGTTTCGTTGTGGGCTTTTTTTGACTCATCGAGGGGCCAGTTGTTTTCAAGAACAATTCCGTCTAAATCTGCAGTATAAATCCACAACTCTTTTACCAGCTCTTCTGGTGTGGAGTCGTAGTCAAGATAAAACACCTTGGCATCGTCAACCATACCTTGATATGGCTCTAAAGTTTTTGAATTTCTTAACATGTACCTCTCAAATCTTGGTACGATTGAACAGTTGGCCTCACTTCTTTGATCCGTTTGATCTTCTTCCATTGATTCTTCGGGTTCCTCGTGACGAATCTATGCAAGTAATATTTGTGTTATACAAATACGTTATAATTAATTGAGAATGCTTTTTTGGGAAATGTTTGTAAAGATCTCCAGCCGATGTGACAAATTTGCGACGTTGGTTTTTAGTGGGACTAGGACTCCCACATACCCCAGACGCTCTCCCGATCGGGTGGCAGTAGATTTATAAGAGAATTTTTCCACGTTAGTAAAGAGGTCAGCCTATCTCATGCATGATTTTAAAGTTTACTTGGAGATAGTTATATTTTAAAACAACATTTTGATTAAACCAGGTAGCAGATTATAGAATCTTTGAGATTGTATAAACATACATATTCTAATATTTTTCTTTTAATATATTTTAATCTAAATAGTATATCTTACATGTAATAAGTCGTAAAATAAACTTACATAAGGCGATAAATGAGGCACAAAACGTTTGTTGGCTCGCCGAATCAACTGTGCTCCTCTATCGATTATATCTCTTTCAGAAAAATCACACTTGTCACTTTTGAAAACGATCGGTAATGCACCACAATGACTTTCGTAAGGAAGACGCTGTGACGTAGCTTTACTGACGAAATCATTTAGATCAGTAAAAGCGTCGTCTGGACTTTCTGAAATTTCACTGAAAAAACTAGAATATGTATATTTGGAAGTTTTATTTGAAACCATGCGTATTTTCAATTTCAAGCGAGCTTATTTAATTCTATTTAAAAATAGTTAAAGTTAATTGTAACGCAAGAATTTGGCACAATCGGACTATTTGGCATGGTACAGAGTTCATAAATAGACTATAAAAGCTTTTAATCTCTTTTATCTACTCAAACGAAGCGATTTTAATAGTTAGGTCGTAACGATAAGAGTTCGTTTAGATCATCAACGCATCATAAAAAAATTTATAATACTTAAAAAATAAAAAAAATTCAACGAAAATAAGAACTCGTTGTTCTAGGTAATATTTACGTTATTAACATTAAGATAATGGACATTTAAGCTAATGCCTACCTGCAGATATGAGCTCCGAGCATCCAGTATTCGAAGTTTTTAAAATGACCGATATAATTCATCACTTCTTTCGTTACATCCTCTGGTCTCGGTCCCGTGAACAAGTGGAACTTCATGCCAAAATTGGTTATGCTTCTTACTACTATCTGATTTTCGTTCAATACTGATACCTCCGTCGGTGCACTTGTGTCAATCAGCAAGCCATGGTACGATTCGTTTATTTTGCTAAATATGAGTGGTATAGAGCTTTCGCCTTTGTCATTGCTGTATATAACTTTGACAGTTCCTTGTCTCAGCGGAATTTCGCCCAGGCCGTACATTGTCTCGTTGGTCGTCTTGAACGATATCTCCCAAATGTTTCGCGAGGCTATCAACGGACCCCGTAAAGTATTGAAAATATTCCCTTGTGCCGATGTAACAAGGACGTTCATTTCAGGCGATGATATGACGTAATTGTATGCTTTGTTCTCTATTCTTCTACCTCCAACACTGTTCGTGAACCGAGCGTTGTAAAAGTTGATCGATAGGTGTGTCGGTGAAACCTCGTCGACGGATATCTTCAGGGATGGTACGCTGTTCTGGAAGGAGAACGGAACGGTCGAAACTCTCGGCTGCAACGTGACGTTCTCTGACCATTGGCGGTCCATTATGTACGAGAAGCGAGATGGCAGTCTATGGAAGCAGAATTTGTTCTGCTGGTCGTAACAGCATTGTGGGTGGCAGTTGATCTCGTTTATATAACCAATTCCGCATGCAAGTCTAGTGGCCCTCTGCAGTAGACACGATCCTGTTGAGTATCCGTCCGGGGGTGGAGAATCCACGCTCGGGTATAACCAGAACTGGTATATTAACAGCGGTACAGCTACCGCTGTCAATAATACCGCTATCAGCACCTTTAACGGTCTGTTGAGTAGTATACGATCATACCACTGGACATCTGAAATGTTAAATTCTATCGTTATTTATTTATTTAGACATGCCAAAAGTATACAAGGATATAAAAAATTAGTCTTAACATTATATGATGTTCTTATATGTAGGCGATGGCAGGAATGTATCTACAACTTTTACTTATATGGCACGTACCTATACAATTGGAAAATAATTTAAATTAACATCAACAAATAAGAATAGTTCTTGAAATGTAGACCACATTTAACTTAAAGTTGACGGCTTTGTTTTACGTGAAGAGGTGGCAAACGAGCTTGCGGTTCACCTGATGTTAAGTGATAACGACCGAGTATTAATAGTCAACGTATATCATCAAAGGGACGTTACTAGAAAAGGCCGATATTGTAAAAGATCTTGACGTAAGAATTGATAAGGAACTTCAGTTTAAGTCTCATGTTGATACTACCGTCGCAAAAGCGGCGTCTTGGGTTCGTGAAAGGAAATACAAAAGTGGTCAAACACGTGCACACAAGTATTATCTTTTTCAATGTCTAACGCCCGATTTTTAAACAAGGATCATCGTGGAAGTCAATTAAACAGCTCAAAGTGTTTAACAATCTTTTTGGCAACTCAAATAACATTTTAAAAGCCATTTGACAACTGATTAGTTAACTTCTACGATGATCAGTGTTACAGAAACCGGACGTTAGAATACGTTGCTATTGTATTGGAGATGGTTATATTGAGATGGTTCTGCAGCAAACATTCAAAAACGTATCAATTAGTATAAATGCATACAACGCGCCTTTACAAGGCACTTGATATTCGCACAGAGGTCGGCATAAACAGTCTTTTACTTAAAATATGTAATGAATATAACATGCTTAACGTTACATGTGCTATTGACATTTTTAATAATTCACTTCCCATAATTATAAACAAGATGCCGAAATCGTTGCATCAAAAATTAAGATAACGTTACTAAGGTTACTCCATATTATTTATTAATTCCATATTACCAATGATTATGTTTTTCTCTTTTCTTTTACAAAATTAGATTTTTATTAAATATTTATTAACGGTGGTATGGCCATACAACAGTCTTCGCTGTTGTACGAATGGGAAGGTCTATCCGAGTAAGTACCACGACCTCACAGAAGACCGACTTGAAGTGAAATTCTTCTTTCTGTGTTTCGTCTGGTCAGTGAGGTAGTGGCAACAAAATTGCAATGTCAATGTATTGCAAGTGCCAATGGGTGGCGGTTAGCACTTAAAATCAGGTGACCCCCAGCACGGTGCCATCTTCATACATTAATAAAGAAGGAAGAATCAATGGTTGTTTCAAATCGATAATCGAGCTTCTTGTATCTTGTATCTTGTATTAACTGATGTTTTTGCTTTCAGTCCCGAGACTATTAAAGCTTCATCGGACGCAGAACCGGTGGGCTAGCCAGAACCCACGGGTTTGGACACTCCGCTATGGGTAGGGTCGCGCATGTGCTCATGCGTGCGTTTAACTACTATTGTGTGTCATCTAAGGGCCGTCGAGGTCGCCGGTTCGGACCGAGACCCCGACGGCCGTCGACTGTGCATTTAGCTAATCGGTGGCTGGGAGCGGTGAGAACCGCCCCGGAACGCGGGTGTACCTTGTGTACGCGTTGTGTGGGTCTCGCCGTGCTCGGAGGCGAGGGCGAACTGGTGTGATTGTTGTTACACTAACTGTGGGTGTAGTGTTATCCGGCGGGACCCCCGGCGGTGGGTCCATCGTATGTGAGTCCTCTTCGTCGACCGGGTCGATGAGGACGTTTCGCGGGTGACGCTTGTTTACGTTCGCGTTTGTGTCCGGTTGGTAGTTTGCTGCGCTTACCACCAGAGGGTTGGGATGATGCTGGACTCTATCGAAGAACCGTTTTGTCAAATCTTTAAAATGTGCGCGAATCGTCGGGAGTCTGCAATCGCTGTGCAGGTCGACGTTGCGCTGATACCACTGCGCACCGGTTGCGCGGCGGATAAACTTATTTTGTACTATTTGCAACTTGTACAAGCGAGTAGGGTGCGTGTGGGCGAAGATCATGCATGCGTAGGACATAATAGGTCGTACGCAGGTCTTATATAATAATAATTTGTGCCTTAAGGGCATTTTACTTTTAGCATTAGTTAAATTGTGTAGCCGGCCGGAGACGAACGCGGCTCTATTACGAACGTTATTAATGTGCGTAGTAAATGACATACGCGAGTCGAAAGTGACTCCTAAGTATTTGACCTTTTTCTCCCAGGGGAGCGGTTGGCCATAAAGGGATATTTGCCCCAACTTTCTGCATTGGCGAGGGCCATTATAAAGATGTGACGGGTAGGTACTTCGTGTGAAGTGAATCGCCACACTCTTTTCGGGATTAATATCGATTCTCCATCAACCAATCGCCGAGGCGGTCGGCGGCGCTTTGGAGTCGAGTTGTTAATTGACTGAGGTTGCGATCTGAGTAAAAGAGCGCCGTGTCATCCGCGAAAAGCGCGAGATTGACGTGGGGGTCTCTAGGTATGTCGCTCGTGTAGAGCGTAAATAGCAAGGGAGAGAGGCAGGAGCCTTGTGGTACGCCGGCCGTGAGGCGGCGGCTTGTGGAGAGGGTGCCCTCGACTCGATATCGAAAAGAGCGGTTCAACAAAAAGGCCCGGATGGTGTGTACGACCCTATCTGGCACTTTGAGTGTGTACAGCTTGTAAAGCAAGCCGTTGTGCCAGACTTTGTCGAATGCTTTTGCGACATCGAAGAATAGAGTAATGTGTTTGGGGTGGTTAAGGCCTTTTAGGATGTGCTCCGTTAGGCGGTATAGCTGATCGGGACAAGAGTGTCTAGCTCGAAAGCCGAATTGTTCCGTCGGCAGAAGGCCGTTGGAAAACACGTGCTCTTTGAGCCTGTTTAACAACAGCCGCTCGTAGAGCTTCCCCAGACAACTGAGGAGGCTGATGGGACGATAGCTGGAGGGCTTATTGGCTGGTTTATTCGGCTTGCGAATGCCGATAACCGTGGCTTGCTTCCAGTCGTCCGGAAAGCAGCAACTGGAGAGAAGGGTATTGAAAATTGTCGCCAGTAAACAGATAAGCGGCCCAGGGAGAGCTTTGAGAATCTTATTACTTATATTATCTGGGCCCGGGGCGGATTTTGGTTTTAAATTTTTAATAATATCTTGGACCTCTTCGGGGGTCACTGAATTTAAAGGTTCGCTTTCCGGTGGAAGCGCAGCCCTAGTCTCGATTACGCGGTCCACCTCCGTTAGGTGGGCCGAATCGGTGTGTTCGCGCGATGGCGTACATTGCTGCTCTAGGTTGTCCGCAAGGCATTCGGCTTTTTCGGAGTCATCTAGGGCTACTGAAGCGCTATTAGGTCTAACTAACGGCGGTAGAGATTCGCGGGGGTCTGCTTTCAGACTGCGGGCCAACCGCCAGTAGGCGGTGTGCGATGGCTCGATGTCCTCTAGGAGAGTGTCCCACGTTGTGTGTCGGTGTTCCGATACACGATCTTTGACTTCTAGCTGAAGGCGTCGAAGTAGGGTTCGGTTCGATTCCGATCGGTATCGGTCGAAGGCGCGTTTGGCTGCATTTTTTTGTCTAATTAGCAGTCGCAGGTCGGTGGAAAGTTAAACCGTCGGTCGCCCGACAGTTTCATTGTCCGTTCCGAGTCTGCGACTGCGGAAGTAATAGTTTCGCGGAGACTCGCTATCGCTCGATTTGCGTCATCGAACGTAGCTATCGTCTCGGGTAAGTCTACTAAGTCCTGGGGGTCCAAGGCCTTGAGTTTGACCTCAAGACGATGCCAGTCCACTACGGATTTGGTCGGAGGGACTGCGCCGGCGTTCTGGCCCAGTTTACACAGGACGGGCCTGTGGTCTGAGTCTAGTTCATGGATTGTCTCTATCGACTCGATCTCGAGCGAGACCTCCCTGAATAACATTATGTCTAGGACACTCGGTAACGCGTGCTGGTAGTTGTCCACCGTAGGATACCTAGTGGGAGTCGCGGGAGTGACTATACTGAAATTTAGGTTATCGGATAAGCTAAAAAGATGCTTTCCGTTGTTGTTTGGGATGCTGTTGATGTCCCATGAGCCGTGTTTGCAGTTTAGATCTCCTGCAATTATCACGGAAGGGCCTAAGTTAAGAAGCGTATCTAGGTCGCTTTGAAGGAGGGTTCTATTCCTCGAGAGGTAGGCTGAGACTAGTACAAGCGGCCTGTGGCCGGTGAGCGCTAACCTACACGCGGATGCCTCTATTTGACTTAGCTCTGGAATGTCGAGCGGGCAACAGTGCAAGTACCGTTTATCATAGATTAGTGTGCCTCCCAGACGGTTTGCTAACCGGTCGTGGCGGACAATATTGTAATTTGCGATTCTGGGATCGCGTACGCTAGGTTTCAAGAATGTCTCTTGCACTAGGAAAATATCTACGTTATAATCGCGAAGGAATTCCGTGATTTCATCCCTTTGACCCTTTTTGCCGTTTGCGTTGAAATACGAAACAACCAGAGCCCGAGGTTTTGTTCTACCTGCGGTTGTACTTCCCATTAAGGTGTTTTTATGGGTCTAATTTACGACGCGGTGGAGCGCAGTTTTATTGCGCGGACTATTGTTCTTTACGGTTGGCTCGTAAAAGCCCAAAGGGCTTCCACAAGCGTTTTGTGTTGGCTAATTGCCCTAAGACGCTCGTGGCCAGATGTGGCGGCCGCTATTTTAGCGGACAATACGGCGAGTTCCTGCCTATTAATTCTATCTAATAAGCTGCAGATGTTAGCTATTTGCGCGAAGGGGTCGTCCTTGTTTTCCGCGAAAACTGACGGAATTGGCTGCACCTGCGGCCACGGCGCCGTTTGAGAGGCGGGCAGCTGTTGCGCGATCGGTCGTGAGGCGACCGGGATTACCGGCGCGATTACCTGCGCGGCCACCTGGGGTTTCGCCCAGGCGTTAATGATGGGTACGGGCGCGGGAATGTATTTAACGGGCGCGGGTTTAGGCAACGTAGACTTCGCGGGAGATTTTCTCGCGGGAGTTTTCGGGGCCTTAGCGCAGCCTCTATAACTAGCCGGATGGCCGGTAGTGTGGCAATTTACGCAGTCCGGTGGATCTGCGCAATGTTTCGGCCTCGTGCACTCGGTTGTGCCGTGGTCACCGGTGCATTTGACGCACCTTGGGTGAGCGAAGCAGTTATTGGCCGTGTGGCCAAAATGTTGACAGTTGTGGCACTGTGCCACAACACCTGATTTGCGTGGGATGACTAAGTAACTGAGCCCACAGAAACTCTTAAGGTTGAAAATGGCCTTACCTTCCGAGGTAGGGTCAAGTTCCACCATGACCATGTCCATAGGGACACGGGTGCGAGGGTGCCTGAGACGACGCACGGCGTGAACAGGGTATCCCTGAGTGCGGATGTCGACCTTAGCCATATCGACATCCGACTCTTTTGGGACGCCCTTAATTACGACCCGAAGTTTACCCTACCTTAAACGGAAACCTACCTTAGCTTCGCGCAAGTACTTTGTTACGCGGCGGAAATCGTCTGACGAATCGAGGTATACGCGGATACCCATATTTGTATTTTTTGACCGGGGGTCTCGGATGTTGTGGCGTTCAAACCACGAACAAACCTGGTGCCACTTTGCCTTATCTTGTATAATTATTGGCGGCGGTGGCTTGATTTTTCGCTCGGAGGCGAATGTCGGTTCCGACTGGGCAGACGCGGCTGCCTTTTTGGCGGGCGTCGCGGTGGGACGGTTTGACGGGGCGGCCTCGTTTTCGGGGTCGCTGTCTGTAGCGGGGCGTTTCTTGCCCTTTTTTCGCGATTTGACGACGGTGAAGCCGTCGGCGTTCGGGTTGTTAGCGGGGGTCGTTTCGACCTCCATGTCTGAGTCGCCGTCCGATTGTGAATCGGGAACGACAGCGCGGAAGGAGGCCGAAATTCGTTGCGCGGAAGGCGCGTTAAGATCGATCGCGGCGGCGGAGGTCGACGCGACGGGCGTTTCGATTGTCGCTGAGGGCGACACAATAGCTGGCGCAGAGGGCACCGGAGATGGCGGCGAGGCGGCAGCCGGTGAAGCCGGACTGTCGCTAGAGAATTCGACGACAAGGCGCCGTTCCCTCGCGAAGCTTAAATATTTTGCCCATACTTCGGGGCATTCCTGCCGAAGGAACTCCTCTGAGAGGGAACCCATGACGACGCTTGTGCCTTTGGGGCTTGCGCCCCGCCGGCGTGTGGTTTCTAAATAGGCCTCCCCACCTTGCGGCAGGGAGGTGTGTGCCTAAAAATTAACGTTTAATCGCCTGCGCTTTAGGTGCGCTAGGGTGAGTACCTAGCTGTCGCCTAATGCAACAAGCACACAGATAAAAATTACAATGCCGCCTCTGAGACGAGAAATGTGTGTAGATTCTACTTACGGACAGGAACCTGCCTACGAGCACAACACTACACTAACACTATCCGCTCGGAAGTCGGGCAAAGTTTCTTCTTTCTTCTATAATGTTTTTTCTTTCTTCTATAATGTTTCTTCTTTCTTCTTGCTTGAGACTTCCCTAACCGTAGACCGCGAAACACGACAACGATAAGGCGAACAGTGCACACCAAGAGATAAAAGAAATAGAATTAGCAACAACGGTTGCAAGATGGCTTCCGGGTCGGTTGGCATGGGCCCTCCGGCTCAGAGTAACGTCCGTTCCGTGTGGAAGCATGAAGCGGAATCGATAATCGAGCTGAAACTTTGAGCGTTAAAAATTCAATGCACGTGATGTTTTTTTTTTCAATGGGAGAAGTGGGCAAACAAAGAAAGAACGATGACTTCGTGCCGCAGTTGTCAAAGGTGTTGGCTTCAGCATCTGGGGTCGTCGGTTCGATTCCCACACGGGACAATTATTTGTGTGGCCCACAGATAGAAGTTTCGGATCTGAGTGTTTGTCCGCTTGAAATTTATGTTTGTAAAACGTCCTCACTACACACGAAAACGTTTTTTAAAAAAAAAAGAGATATACAGCAGCCAGTTGCCAATATTTTAGTGTGTGGCCCGCTCATTCGCCTGACCAAATACAAAAATAACAAATATTCCTGTAAGCCTGCCCATATGCACAATAGCAGAATATACAAAGCCTGCGTCGAAATGTACCACGCGTGCTATAATAATAATAATTCTTTATTTCAGGCAAAAGCCCATAGTTATAATCGACAAAAATACAAATTTATAATTAAAACAAAATTATCAATTAAAATGTTGAGTTGAATTGACAAATAAAAAAAAAAAAATAGATTTAAACATTACACAAACAATTAATCACATATAAAACACAATTATTTTACTTATCTACAGATATATATATATACAGGTTTCACTGCTTATTCTAACAGCTATATAAACTATAAAAGTGTATAAATCTCCAACCTCGTCTCTATGAAAATCATTTTGGGCTACTCACGTTTGACATGTTCGCTTTCAAAGGTGAACTCGTCTTCTCTTTCTTTAGTATCTTGGCTGATATCTTCTGCACGTGGTATCATTATATTCGGTCATCGGTGATTCAGATAATTTTTACCTTTTGTTTGCTTATCAATGTAAAGAAAATTATTTGATTTGGTTTTATTTTGCAAACACATCAATAACAAAAAAACTTAAAAAAGCAACTTACTTAAATCTTAACGAATTATTTGTAAATTTTATGAGTTTTGACATACAAAAAAATTAATGCTTACCATTTCTTACGACGATACGAGATAGAGAGGGAGAGTTGTTTATAGTAATGAACAGTAACAAGCGTTAGCTAAATTAATTACACTGCCTTTACCTTTATTGCTCTTTCTAACCTAAAAAACTCACTTATTCAAACAATCACATATCACAGATTTCTCTATATTTATTTTTAAAATGATTTACAGTAAGATTTTCATGGACTTCATTAGAATCAAAACACGTATTGCCGTCTACATTTTTATCTGTTGAGTTATATTTAATTGGTTGATAATGATAAGATTAAAGCGAATCGATTTAAATCATCATAGGAAATCGATAACATTGTTCAATTGAGATTATACAATTTTAATGAAGCGTCTTTGTTTGTTTTTTACATTTGTGATTTTACAATTTATGATGTTAGCAGTTGATAGGATACATTTCCTTCTGCCCTTATCCCACCTAGGTGGGGTCAGCAAAACATGTGAATGATGTTGTTAGAAGTGTTGGCTAGGATGTTTTTTACGTCTGGCCGCCTACCCTAATGTCAACCCTCCTTGAGAATAAACATCCAGATCTGGAAAATTATTTGTGAGCAGGTAATACACAAATAATTTTCCCGTGTGGGAATCGAACACACGACCACCGGCGCCGAATTGCTATAGCATAATCATAGTTTCCTAATAAGAATAAGATTTCATACATATTTAAACATACAAAATCATTTTTTATATATAAATAAATAAACAAATATTCAATAATATTACCTGCTATAATTTAACAACTATTAGCAATATGCACAATACACATTTGTTATTTTTAACAACTCCTGAGTGTATGTATGGATTTTCTTATTTTTTTCGAATCGGGGGAAACATCTTCAGATGAAACCCTGTCTCCTGGGGAGAAGACATGTTTTTATTTAGTTCTTACATACCGTCTACGTTAAACCCACAAGTTCCCTTTTGCACGGCGGTTGAGCATATTTCTGGAGAGAGTAACCTAGATTCTACACTACCCAACTTCGTATTGCCGTCCATACCGGCCCTACTGAAGTGGACGGTCATTCCGATTGCCCTTGAACCCATTGTCGGCAAATAATAATCACCTTCTATAACAGCGATAGAGATTCTATGAGGTTAACAATTTGGGAAAAGTAGCCGAACAATCGACAAAATTGGAAAAGTTTTATATTCACTTGCTGCGACTGTCTCTTGGTAGAAATAATTTATTTAGTTTGTTGAATTAGTTGTTCACTCCATATTTCAAAGCATATTTTTGATAAAAATGATAAGAAAAAATTGGTAATATATCAAATGGAACGAGACATTTTTTTTAAAATTGTTTGATATTTTTTTACAGAACCGACTTCAAATATCTCGCATCCATTCTCGTATTCTCTCTGAATTCATAATTGATTTTCAGGAGTTCCCTTCGTATCTCCGGAGCCCATATTCCAATACGAATGAAATTAATATGGGACCATATGGGAGGCACAAGTTTTCAAATAAAAAAATAATCATCAAAATCCGTTCACTCAGTCGAAAATTTTGAGATAAAAAACATAAAAAAATGCAGTCCAATTGAGAACCTCGTCCGTTTTTGAAGTCGGTTAAAAAAAGGGAGATCATTGTGTAAATAAAAGAGAACATATGTTTTCCGTTTATTTTAAATATAAATTCGACCCTTCTTAATACATAAACGCATACCCTAACAATACAACTTATTATCTAGACCGAATGAATGTGACTAGAACGACTAGTTTACAACTTAAAAAGTTATAAGCATATAGAGTCAGAGATATAAGTCATAAGCAACACGATGTACTTATTACAATTTGTTAGATGCATTTCAAAGTATTATTTATTTTCTTTTTTTAAATAATTTTGTTTTTATTATTTTCATTAATAACCGAAAGTAGAAAGGAGGTTTTATAAAAAGTGTTTGGTGTGGCGTTATTTAAATGTATTTATGAAAAACCTCCACTTATAAAAATTCACAATTGCAAAAATGTCTCCATCTCTGTCTTTCTTTTTATAAAAAAATACAATTAGTATAAACGTTACATTCTTCAACAATCATACTGTTTATTGTTAATAACATTAAGAAATATTAAAACACTAAAGGGTCCCTTCTTTTCCAATTATCCTATGTCACTAATTACTAACCTTACTTTTTGTTATATTCGTGTCTGTTTTAATAATTAAAACATACATAATTATTATAAGCGTTATTGTTCATAATGTTAAATAGAAGATAAAAAAGGAAATGCTTAAAAAGGACTCTTAATTACTTCAGCGGTCTCTATTTCATCAATACTGGATATACTAGGATGTAGATATGTCGTAATTTTTTAAGTAAGTAAAAACTTCTTAGTTCCTCTAATTTAGGTAAATCTTAAAACCTTCACGGCCATTCCGATGCAATTATATAAATTTGTTTAACTAGCAATGATAATATTCTCATATTACCTTCAACAGTGACAATTCTTAATTCCAACTGATGTGAGAAGACCATAGCAGGTTAATTTATTTAACAATTTCTCAAACGTTTAACAATTTAATTAGGCATTGGTGACACCGATCTTCTTGCTTGCAGGGCTTTGTTGTCGCAATACGCTCTAATGTCTTCCATAGGCTGCATTAAGAATACTGGAACATCATCGTCGCGTTTCTGTAAGGAAGATATTTTTGTGTCAGAAGGTGGCGAGCTCGGTTCAAGGGTCGCGATTCACCCGGTGTTAAGCGATTACCGTTGACGTTTACAACACAGACGGTATACAACCTTTTAAAAAAGCGGGCTCCGTTTATCACACTCGAGAGACGAAATAGAGAAGTATAGCCCTTCCACATCGAGGTTGTGGGACTTCCCCGCATGTGCCAATGATTTGCAACGGCAAAGAATGCTGCGTGGCTCACCACAGTCAAAAAAGGAAGAAAATCAAAATTTATGACTCCGCGGTGCAGTTGCCAAGGTATTGGCTTCGGCGTCAGCGGTCGTGGGTTCAATTCCCACACGGGACAACTGTTTGGGTGACGCACAGATAGTTATTTCGCATCTGGGTGTTTTTCCAAGTGAAATTTATGTTTGTAAAAGTCCTTACAACACATGATAATGTTATCCTAAAGTAAATATTTAATTTTTTTTAAACATTGCCCATGTTTAAAAAAAATTAAGAAGAAAATATTTCTAATAGCTATTTATCTAACCTAATGCTCACAGCAAAAGAGTGCAACAGTATGTCATCGACACTTACCAGCCCTTTATAATGTGACGTTCTTCAAGGCAAGGTTATTGATCTGGGAGATCTGGGAGTTCACTCTCGTAAAAAAACTAGTGTATACCATTAACAACATGATCATGCGATGAGGACAAATAAAGAGGAGAAATAAAAAGCTATATGGTGATCAAACTAGGTGGGCCTTTTAGCTCTTTACTATTCACGGTAATTGCTGTTGTCAAATATTTTGATGTAATGACAAGGATAAATCTAACATCAAATTTGTTAAATTTAGCGACACAAGCGGACAAAGTGCAATATTTGACGGGACATTATTGAACGGGTTCCTAAGCCTACCAGACTTTTCAAATGATATTTATATAATTTGAATAGTAGACTTAAATTTATTATTCATAAGGAGTATTTAAAGTAAACATTAGGACTTTACCAACCTGGAATAAAACTTCGCCTTCGAAGAATGTCAACTGATGCTTCCTCGTCCGTAGCAAAATGCCGACGAGCTTGTCCGAAATTACTGTGTATATCTGAAAGGGATAGGATTTTGAGTATTCATCCTTTGGTTGCCCACTGGTGGACACAGGCAAGACACTCATCTAGGAAAGTATTGTCATTATACAATTTGCATTTCGACAACTTTACGGCCATCTAATGCACAAATAAATTATCTATAAACAACGGTAATTCGAATAATTAAGATTTCATTTTTCTCATCTTTGGACTCTAAAACTACTTGATGTTTGTTAAATAAAATTATGTTACGAATTCTATAATTAAAACTGCATTAACAATATGCAATTATTTTTGGTTTGAAGTCTGTCCCGGGTCTCGGTGAAGTCAAAATTAAACGTGATAAAATCGATAGAATGTTTTATTTAACAATTTAGTAGATACGTAAAAGCCATCAACTGACGAAATATCAGTTTTTAAAACTGTGTCATAGGTGTTATTTCTGGCTTATACGCAAAATCCTTGTAAGTCGGAATTTTATTTACGATTTAAAATATTTTGTAAATGTTTTTACTGTACATACATGAGCCGTTTCCTAAAACATTTACTTCGTGACATTCATGCGGTGTAGATTTATTACTATATTATGATATTTTCGTCTGCAAACTGATTCGAGAACCGTTTCAAAGCAATAATATTTTTGAAATATATTGCATAACCGAACGAGAATAAATCGGGAACGATGGTGAAAAACGAAAATATTTATTTTATGTGAAGGTCGATTGATTCCTAAATACTTTATATAAATAAACGCCCGTCAAATATATTCCGAAGTACTATTCAATTATAAATTAATGGGTTAAAATAAAACAATAAACATTTCTAGAAATATTCAATGTGAAACGAGAGGAATTTTTTTCATACAAACATCTTACTGACAAATAAAAGTATAATTATTAACAATATTTACATTAAGTCTAGTGTTAATATAAAACTATATATAATACGTAATTGAGCAGAAAGTTGTCAATCCACCTTTAAGGGCTATGATTGCCTAACATGGTCACTGACTCATTTACTCAGTGGACTGTCGCTTCAGACGACGATATGACCAGCCCGCTGCTATTTCAACTTACTTTCCCTGACGCCTATGTCGATGACTTGGTTTCTTTGTCGGATCACTTAATTTCAGATCATATCCTTTAGATAAACTACCGAATGTAACATAGATGTCTCTATTGTAGATATGAGGTGGTCCCGCCGTTGAGATATATTATAACCATTCTTCTTAATATATAAAAAATGTCTTCCAGGGCATTAGTAAACAATGCCGGGGAGATGATGTTCCCCTGTCTCACTTCCCTTTGAAGCCCTCGTACGTTTATACGATTAGTTCTTTACTTGCACTGTCACAGCGTCATTTAGACAGCTCATTACCTCGATGTAACGATAGCCCACTTGGCATCACTGCAAAGACTTCTACGATGTCAAAAGCTTTCTCATAGTCCACGATTGCGAGACACAGAGGTTGGTTAAATTTTACGGACTTCTGTATAACCTGCCACGCATGTTGATGTGGCCTATGGTGCTAAATTATATGCGAAACGTAGCCCTGGATACATACTTCTAAATCATAAACCCTTCCAATTAAACCTATAAAGTACTTTCGGTTCAGTTAAATTTAGCAAGAAGTATAAGAAAACAACCTGCATGTTGTTAATTTCTAATTATCGTGTAAGATAATTAATTATCTTAAGTTTACACCCTCAGAGTTCGAATCGTCTTACATTTGGATAAGTGCGAGTATGACTCACACTCTCGCATGTCTTCTTTTTTACGAAGTTGCTTAAAGCTTACAGCCCTGGCTTCAATAAATGAAAAGAACAAGATTACATATATGCTCACAAAAATACATTAAGAAATCGCTTTGCTAAGTTCTATATTTATCATAGGACCAATTTACCATTACCATATTAGGTTGGGACCAAACTCCAAATCGCCGTTTGTTTACTGTACTAATTACGTGTGAACGTTCCGACGTTAGTGAATGCGATTCCAAATTTAAATCACGGTCGCGATGGCCGCTCCCGCCAAACGGAATGTCAAATGACGTCATCGGCTTGGACGCGGCCGGCGCGGGTCGATGTAATTCATGTCTTTCCCCTGATGTACGGCGTTTTCGTACATGAATCCGTAAGTCGAATGAGACGTAACACAAAGTGCTGCTATCAAGGTCGTCTAAACATTCATTTGTTTGAAATAATTGGATCTTTCTAAATAGCCGGTTTTTTTAAAGCCAAGAGTTCAAATAGCAGTGTTTAAGATGTTTTGTTCGTAATGTCTTTGTTTTTTGCTTTCAAGATGTTTTTTCCTGCTCTTTTAATAATGTTTGTGTTTATAATTAATCAGGATATTTGCTAGTAATGTTATTTATGTTTAGTTAACTTTTTAAGCGGGTTTTACCTATTTGCTCATTAATATTTATTTAACTTACCTACTTATTTAACTTATTTATTTATTTTATTTTTATTATCTATTTAAAAAAAAAACTAAATAAATAAATAAATTGGAACAAAATAAAGTTGATCCCTTAATTAGCAAAATTTTAACCATCACTGAATTGAAACAAACAAATAGTAAATATATTTAGAGGCAAACAGATTATGAAACAGCTCCAGAAAAGTTAAGTTCGATATTTATACTACCTACAATATTCAATACAATTACCTATAAAACAAATTGCAATTTAGAAACTCTTTTTAAATTAAAGGAAACATTATTCAAGATCAAACATTGTATCACGTTATCAAAATTGATAAAATTACTATCGTAATGCAATAAAATAGATTCGTTTACGACGAAGAACAAACGCTTCGAACCGATTTGACCCGTCGCGATCTTGGAATATTTCAAACGTGTATCATCCTTAGGAGCGATGCCAAGATCGTTATTATCATGCAATTTAATCGTGTCCAATAAAATGTTAAATCCAAGCATATGTTCGTTTAATGTACCGATTTCAAAGTTTACTTGTACTTTATAATTTCTTTACACGACCTTATGTGTATCTTCACGCTTTATTAATGTAAAAGTTTGTTCTGGGAACTGTATTTACAAAAATCTATGTTCTAGTCGATGGTTAAATGATTATGGACTCTATCCATCAGTCTATCTTTTGAAATGTTATTTTTTATTTGTTCCTCACTTTAAATCCTGAAGGGCTGGTTCTAAAGCATACAGTTTGAGTTTCAATCAAGTTTGAGTGGCTATTACTACTTTTTATTGCTAACTGCTATTACTGCTAACTAACATTAAAAAATCTTTTTTCAACCTGATTTAAAAGATAAAATTCGATTGTTTCGCTTAAGGAATGTCTGTCATATTACAATTTCAACCGCTGGGTAATAGAGTTATGACTCTATTGTGATAGTATTGACTTCTTGATTTAACGCGAACATTGTACATATTAAATGAAACTAGTTTACGGATTTTATCCCGTTATTTAGATTTTATAATTCCGACCCTTTCCAGCGTTCATTTATTTTGATGTTCATGTATGTGTCAATATCTATTTTGATCGACTATATCCACAAGTCCCCTTTTAATTAACGAAAAACAAAACTGACTCCAAATATCTCGGATTTGTATTCATTATATAATTGATTTTCAGGAGTTCCCTAAGTATCTCCGGAGCACAAAAAAAAAAGTAAAGTAACAGCCTATACATGTCCCACTGCTGGGCAAAGGCCTCCTCTATAGAGAGGGGAGCCCAAGATGAAATTAATACGGGACCACATGGGAAGCACCAGCTTCTAATAAAATAGTAATCATCAAAATCGTTTCAGTCTGAATTGAGAACCTCCTCCATTTTGAAGCCGGATGAAATGAGAATTTCGGCTTACCGTGAACAGTTCTCCGAATGAAATCACCTTTGTCGCGCTCTTGAGTTCTGGAGGTAGGAGGCTCTTGCATGGGGTTTTCCCGTACTCGTTTATAATCTCGCACAGCTCCTTCATCTCTGTGCACACTCGAGCCTGAGCTTCGGCTCCTCGATATTCAGTCTTCGAACCGGGGATTGGTCTGAAAAAGGGTATTTCTTTTAATAACTTGTGTTTGTTCTATAATATTTGTAAGGCCCTTAACAGATCCTAGCTCGTAGTTTAATACAAATTTTAAGTATAATTATGAATAGTAATTTGTTTGTAACATTTTTCTTGTTGGCAACTGAAATATGATGCCATTGTTTAAAATTATTAATTTCAGAAAAGTTTAAAGAAAAATTGTAAAATATAATGAGGTCTAAATAAGTTTAGTCATCTGCTATATAAAACTATTGAAAAAAACATTAAACTGTATGTTTAAACATTTTAGTTCAGTGTTATTTTAATAGTAAGTTGATAAAACAAACTTAGCAGAAGGCTCCTGTGGGTCACACTAATACTTGTCCCATGTGGGCATCGACTCCACGACCCGGGATAAACGGCGATTAAATAAACTAAAAATTATTTAAAATAAAAAATTAAATAAATAAAAAGATTTAAACGGGTCGTCAAGAAATCAAAGTCACAAAATAAAATTTGTAAGATTGAGCAAATAAGTATTGTGACTTTGATTTCTTTCAAGGTCAGTTGAATGATACATATACATACGAGGATAAAAGAAGCCATTAACCTCACTGGTTTGAACCGATGATCATTAACTTGAGAAGAAAGTTTAAGACTTTTGATTTTTTTTTTTGTGTGCCATATTGATGTTGACGATCACCGAACGTTAATCTGCTTAACGTTCCAACGACTCTATATTATAATAATTCACGCAAACATTATTTCAAAGGATTTATTTCCTTTTTGAATCTTATGGCTTTTTATAAAAAAACCCAACAAAATAATAAAAGTTAATTTATTATTTAAATCTAGCTTTGATTTTAATTTCTAAGGGATGTTTTCTGAAATCTGGGTATGAATAATAAATATACCTTATAACTATTTGTGTTATAACTATGTAGTTCAGAAATACCGCGCACTTACATATTTTACATATTTTGTCTATGAAAACCATGGTACATACTACATATAGAAAATGTGTTAACCACTCAATAACAATCCTGAGTTAAAAACGAAAAAACATCTAGATCCTAGCATCTTAGTGTCTGTCGTGTATAACGCATTTCGTGAATGCGCTTTGTTTTTTTTTTTTTTTTAATTTTGTTTGCTATGTTTCTCTGTGGACTAATCGTGATATTTCTTTAGGGGTTTACTTGCTAGATATTAAGACAATATTATAGCTTTGCTTCTAAAGACACTATAAAACTGTTGTGTTTACATTATTCTTTACTCACTTCCCATATTCGTCCTTTGAGAATGTTGGTTTGTGATTCTTGTCGAAGTGACCGCTGAAAGCTGTGACCTTCTGCAGTTCGCTGTGCGCCTGCGCCTTGGTGTCGAAAGCCGTTATAAGGTCTGTCAAGGACGAGCTCTGAAAACAATACGTCGGTATAAATCATACGCTTTTATCCAAAGTTTTCGTAGTGGACTAATAGAAGTACTGGAGTTTTTAGTCTTATTATTGTCAAATGATATACTATATACTAGCGGACCCGACAGACGTTGTCCGGTAAACAAGATTGAAATCCGAAAACAACAAAAAATAAAAAAAATAATGTGAAACGAACACAATTGTGAATCTAAACCATTCTCGATTCGACCTGAAGACACACACAAAATTTCATTAAAATCGGCCCAGCAGTTTAGGAGTTCAGTGACGTACACACGTACAGAAGAATTATATATATAAAGAAGATAGTATGTCAATTTTATTGATTCCTGGTGTACTATAATTCCTGGTGTAATTATACGTGTATGATGAAAATTGTTCAATTTTGAATTTGTCATACGAAAATTGTAATAAAGGAGGAATTGTGAAGCTGAAGCGACAGAAAAGATTTATTACGCTGTTATTAATAAACAGTTTGTCATTAATGCAGTGCAATTAAACATGTAAATTTCTGTGATTTTTTGTATGCAGAGGTGGCAAATAAGCACACCAGAAGTTAAGAAGTCACCGTCCCCCATGAACCAGCGGAGCTGCGAAAGCATTTGAACGTAATGGTTTAAATTTTTAAGGTTCCGTACCCAATGGTAAAACGGAACCCTATTATTAAGACTCCGTTGTCTGTCTGTCACCAGGCTGTATCTCATGAACTGTGATAGTTAGACAGTTGAAATTTTCACAGATGATTTATTTCAGTTTCCCTATAACAACAAATACAAAAAAACTGAATAAAATAAAGAACTTTTTAAGGGGCTCCCATACAACAGACATAATTTTTTGCCGTTTTTATAGATAATGGAACGGGACCCTTTAGTGTGCGAGTCCGACTCGCTCTTGGCCGGTTTTTTTTTCTTGTCCTAAAACATTTTACAGTAAGAACTACCTGAAATATGTTAATGAAAGTATTCTTGCTTTGTTATTTCTTTTCGGAATTAAAAAGAAAATTTGTTAAAAAAGCTTTAATAGAACTCGGCTCTTAATGATATCGTTTTATTTTTGTTATTTGACATTGCTTTGTATTTTTTGCTTGTAATATACTTAATAACAATTTGATTCTGAGCTTAGGTTAGAATTACGTGTACGTATTGGATTTGGCGAATCTTCCTAGTTCCACTAACCGTACTACAGCATAATTTAGTTTTATCAAAAAAAAAAATTATAGTTGTATAAGAAATATAATCAGACAATAATAATAATACGCTCCTTCCCATACACGCGTATGTAAAATTGAGGCGTTAAATTTTATAGCACTATTTCAGATCGTGAACTTGGCATTACTTGTGAAGACGCCTCTTAAAATAAAACCAAGCCGAATGTAACTTCACAGTTGACAAACAAAAGGCAAGTGGGAAATGGCATGTTAACATGAATAACTCTTAAATCTTGGATGTATCAATATGTTAGAAGAATATGTATACGAGTGGTACTCTTATGACGCTAATTGTGTCTTTTATGTTGTTTATGTGACATAATTGATTCAATTCCATGTTCGATTGTCAATATTGTTTTTGTTCTTTAATACGTATTTAAAAATCGCATAAGGAAATGTTTCAATTTATAAATAATTTTGGTATATAACATTGAATTTGGAATGTATTGACCGCTTTTAAACATTGTTCATTACTATCTCACATGGGTCGGGTAATGAAGTCTTAGAGCGTAAGCTCCTCAGCTCAGTAGGATCCTTACCGTTCTTAGCTTGACAATGCATTTCATAGCATTGTTATCTCAAGAGAAAACTGACGCTGGCATATTGCTTGGGATAGGGTTCTCAAAGTATAGTACTGGAAACGCCAACGTTTTTTTTCAACGTTCGGATTTTGGAAAGAAGTTATGACAATCGCCAATGGTGTTTGACATAAAGGACGTTATTGTCTAGTTTACCAATGATTTTATAACCAAATACGAAGTGGATATGACACAAGCGCACCGAAACTGAGGCACCCAAATAACACCAATTAGTGTATTTAGATTGCAATTCAATGATTGCTATCTCTGTAACATACGTTCTATATCATCTGTAAAATTCACTTATATACGTAATATTAAAATGGATGACGAATGTCCATACTCCGCGGTGCTTTAGATTATATGACGTATATAAGTGAATTTGACAGATTATATAGAACGTATGATACGAAAAGAGATAGCAATCATTGAATTGCAATCTACATTCACATCATTGTGGATTATAAAACTCACTGTATGACAATAATTTATGAAAAGAAAAATGGAAAACTCTTTTGCTAGAGATATAGATAGCAGTATAAAAAGAAAAAGAAACAGGTTTATTTCGATAATTATAACTTTGTCTAAATATTGGCTCTGCTAATAATATGTAGAAGTAGCTCAAGTTGAATTTCTATTGGTTTCATGAGATGATTTTGTAAGATACTCGTAAATAGTAAATAACGCATGAAGTAAGTAAAAAGTAGTAGCAATAATACATAATTTTAGTAAATATGTAGTTCTATACGTTTGCCTACCTAAAATGGGGGGTAATAAAAGGAAAAAAGTTACAAGGTAAGGTTGATTTTATCTAAAAAGTTAAATTACATTTTTGTGTATAAACATAGTTAATGTCATTTGGTTTTAACATGCCATTTTTATGACACTGTAAGATAAATCAATGTTTTGTTTTTTTTCATTCAGAAAGATCTTTAGAATAGGTACTTCAATTAATTTAGTCAACACCTTGAAATTAAACCAATGGTTATAAATAGAAGTTATATTTGTGTGAAACGGATATCGCCGAAATTGTGCAGCCGGTTTGTTTATGATGGTTAGGTTTGTCTTGATTTATATTCGACGGACTGCCAACACCTGACGACACCAGTAAGACGCACGGCACGCGAAGATGCTGCCAGATATCAATCATTGACGGTCTTGAAGCTATTTCCTCTAAGTATTGTATACGTACGTTTGTGGCTACTTGGCGCAGAAACAAAAGAACTGTTTATTCAAAGCAAACTCTTCATTGTCTATGGCTAACGATAGCTTTTGAGTCATTGGTCTTTCTAATTTCGTAACGCTAAAAGAGACAGTAAAGTAAAGAATGCAGACGACACACAGGAGCTATATTTAGAGATGGACCGTAATTACTTCATTAAATTCAGTGAGCTAGCTCACACCACAACTCGTCACAGACAAAACATCATGCTAGTTTTACGGTGTAATTATGTCCGTGTGTTTTTGCCGAATTTAAAAACAAACACCGAAGCTATACAATGCGACAAAATGATGATTACTAATCATCCAAATCCGAGAAATAGGCACAGACACATTTATTCTTTTCTTTTCTTTTTAGTATCACGTCATTGTGTCCTTTCACTGGCCAGGTATGTATATCCTCAGATTTTGCAATGTACTGAATGAAATGCAAAGGTACAACAATCACATTTTTCTTTAAGCTTTTAGCAATAGTACTATCGGTGACGAGGTGCTCATTTATACAAAAACTAGAGCACATTCGCATAAGATGTGGAAAGCCGTTCCAATAATTTGTCTTATTACCGTTTTCAACTTGTTTTTAAAGCCCGCTTATTAGTGGCTTGTTTTAAAAAACTAATCGGAACCATGCGGCATCGACTATAAGAACAGAACAAATCCGATCAGCATTTTCTGGTGAACAACAAGCTTCAGCTGTTTATATGCCTGTGTATATGGTCATATCGATTCCTATGTGCACCCATAGAATAAAGAAAGTCATTTCATCAAGTTGACAGAGGCGTTTAAAGCAGACGTTATGGCGGAAATACATATAATGGAATATACATAGACTTTGGAGCATTTATAAAAATTGCGCTCTAAAACATTTTGGGTAACCCCCTGTATGTAAAATATCCTTTACATCACTACACGTGATGTTCTAAACGAAAGTAATGATTTGAAATAAAAAGAGAAAGAGAGATAAGTAATTTTCCTGCCGGTAAGACATCCCAGAATGTGTAGGACAAACGGCTTCTGTATGAATCAGGGCTGCCTTGGCCCTGCGCTCGACCGACCTCCGGACAGAGCACGTTTGAACGATTGCTTTTACGTCGGCGTAAGCGCTCATGACTCACGCTTCCGTCTGCGCTCTTGGAGATTTTACAGGAATGCTTCTGGTATTTAAACGTTAAAATTAGTGCTGAATACCGAACTGAATATTATTGCATTTGGTCCGGCAGATTTTCGCCGTCATACCGCTTTGAAGTGCCCGACGCTACGTTATCTGTGGCGGTAATATCTTTGTAAAAATAATAGATGATATAGATTATGCTACTTCAATAAATAATCTTCAAATATAAATTAGCGGATGGGTTAGAAATAATATCAATGAATCGCATGTGTGATGGGAAAGAAATCACAAAATAATAGAAAAATTATTATTTTGGTAGAATTATCTATTGTTAAGCAGTTACATTTCACTGTAGGCTAAGGAAATTGAGCAATTCAATCATATTATTTGCGGAAATTTGCTGGCAACTGTTGTGCGCGCTGGAAGTAAGTCTTTTTTTAGGTGATTTTAATGAGTCGCGAAAGGGATTTTGGGTTCTGTACTACTTATTTTCAGAAGAATGTTTTTAAAAACTGCAATAATTATGATTATGGAGATATAGAATATTAGAATGGCTGTGAGAATAGGCTGCGGTGCTTTCGGGTTTGGCTTTATTAATCCTTTAAATATTATTATAGTTGATCGTACTAGCTTATTAAAATTACAGGAAGTCATATACGTACATATTTTATATATAGTGTAATACAATTGTAATAGAAAATAAGTAAATCCCTCAATTCCACGACATCGTTATAATTGTAAAACAATTGGTCGGCCACGTAACTCTGGATCGCAGCCAAAAATTCCTGTGACATTGTTGTGGGTATTTCTACTATTTAGTTTATTACGTTTTGTTTCCGACATTCGCTTTGTCCGTTACGCTAAAGTTATATTGACACGGTATCGGTTCTGATTAAAAAATATATGTAGACTACATAACTGTTAGTGATTATTATTGAACAAGCAGATCATTAGGATAATTATTTTGATCTTGGTAGCAGTGGAATGTGCAAATTTGAGCTTCAAGCGGACTGTCACACGATCTTCCGTCAATTGGCGACGTAAATAACATGGTACCAAAGAGGTGCCAAAGCAAAAAAAAAAAAAAAACTTGTCAGCTAGTGAAATTGGGTAACGAGAACAAGCGTCTTTTCACATTTCCGATGGGAATGACGATGTTTTCTCGGTCACGATCAAAAATAATTTCAGTCGGCGATTTGCCTGTAACATTTAGTCATTAGTCTAACGAAGAAACTGTTTGTTATTATTGGTTATTATCTATTGGCTTGTGATGTGAATCACCAGACGAATTATGACGTTTTCTTTAATTCCTTGAATTATGAGTTAAGACCCAATTGGAGCCGTGATAGCTCAGTGGCCGGGCGCTCGCGGCTTTAAATCATTATACTCGAGCAATTTTAGTTCAAATCCCGGTACCAGTACTAATGAAATTTTTTAATTGTTATTTTTAAGTGCCGACTTATCACGTATTCTGCGGTGAAGGAAAACAACGTGAGGAAGGAAACCTGCATACTTTCGAAGTATTAACAAAAAAAAGTATTTATATTTTTCGAAGATATGTAAAGTCGACCAATGCGCGGTTGGGTCGCGCGGTGGGCTCTGCCCTAATACCGTCAGCAGTGGGACATGTATAGGCTGTTACTTTACTATGAAGTGACTATATATAAGGGCCCTTTAAAGCCTTAAAAAACTTAAAGTTTTCTGTTTTAATTGAATATTTAATGACTGCGAATTGCATACTAAATGGTCGAAGAATACATTGAGGACAAAGAAATCTGGAAATTACACTTGCTCTGCAAAACTGTTGCTTCTTATATACTTAAATAGTTTTGTATACTTGTGTCATTAAAAAAAAGAGATAACAATACCACAGAGTTTTCTGCCAATTCTTCTCTGGTTAGGTTTAGTTTAGTGAACCGGTGGTAGTTTCTTGACGTTCAATAAGAACTTAAATTAAGCCTAAATTGAATAAAGAAATTTTTTCTAAAAGTAAGTTGGAAGGTGAACCAATGGCATTGGATTATACTGCATGTTAAATACTAATTTTGTACTTATTCATCATCATCATCAGCCGCAAGACGTCCACTGTTGGGTATAGGCCTCCCCCTTAGAACGCCACAACGAGCGACACTTTGCCATTTGCATCCACCGGTTGCCCGCGACTCTTATGATGTCGTCGGTCCACCTAGAGGGAGGCCATCCAACGCTACGTATTCCAAGTTCGTGGTCGCCACTCGAGAACTTTTATTCCCCAACAGTATTCCCATGACTAGTATTCTTCATATTTAACGGATTCTTCTCTCCGTAATGTAATCCCGGTTTAAATTATGAAAGGTGTTCACTTGGTAGAATTTTCTAATAATTTTGTTATTTTTTTTTGCTTTATGTTAACTATGTGTTTTAAATTGAAAGAAAACACAAAAATGACCTTATGGATAGTAAAATATTACAGAACAATATGTGATGAATTCAAAATATTTAAAAAAAAACATTTACTTATGTGAAACAGAAATAGTAAAGCTAAATAAATCTTTCAATTAACAAATTATTGATTGTTCTTGAGTAAAATAATAATGGTTGTAATTAGTTTGTATAGGTACCAAATGTAAAACTCGACCCTAAAAACTTATAAATAAATTAAAATGAAACCGGAGAGAAAAGGGGAAAAATTGATTCTGGTAAATGGAATTAAAAGTTAAAAATAAAATGAATTATTTACGCTAACAGTTTTGACACGTAATTGGCTTATCAAATGAGAAACAACAGCAGTTTTTTTTTAAAGAAAACCTTTTATTGTCTAATAATATCGTCAACAGGTTTGCGCTATTTAAAGATATTAAATCGGAGCCTTTAACGTCGATTTTAATAAGTGACAATGCTCTATATAATTTAACGAACTACATAATCAATTTATAACGGTTTACTTACCCGTGATCGCCTCTGAATTGAATCGTCACCAGGAATAGTGAGGAAGTTGCCGCTCATCTTGTACCGTGCAATGTAACTCACAAAACACCGACGAGGTTTCTTCCGAGAAACTCTATATAAATAGCGCACGCTGATGTTTTTATTGGTCGTACGTATCCGACGGTGGTCACTAATGTAATGGTGTATCTGGGCTTATGAATGGGTGACGTTGGTCTTATCCCCCCTCTGTATCGCTCCGACGCTGCGCTCGCGTAGCATCGAATGTGGGAGTGTCTACGCTACGAGCAGCGAGCTTTTGAATTGAACTTTAAACACATCCAAAGAAAAGAATCACATTCTTGGAAGCTGAGTGTCTGTTTTTTTTCAATAATTGCGTTCGCGAAGTAGTTTAAAACGTCATTATATCAGCTCCCGCATAAGATTGTTATAGAGGATAAGTTTCTAACACATTATCTAATTGTAATTTTACCGCGTGCGTTATTTCCAGCCAATACAAAGATAAAGGGTCGTGGATGTTTGCTGATGGGTTCAGGCGGATCACACTTGTAGGAACAATTATATTTTTGGTTAGGTATTGTTTGCATCTAGATAAGCACTAATAAGCAGATAATCAATGCAACAAGATGTGTAGGGATTTACGACGCCGCCATATCCACAAATCTGTACAAAATGAAGATCCAAGTCGTGTTTGGAAATTCTTAAGGTCTATTGGAGTTGGGAAATTACGCTCAAACCTACTTCCAAATAATTTAGATTTAAATATGCTTAACCAGCATTTTTCTTCGTCTTCTTCTTGCATAGATAATGTTGCTAAATCAACTACCCGTGTTTGGAAATTCTTAAGGTCTATTGGAGTTGGGAAATCACGCTCAAACCTACTTCCAAATAATTTAGATTTAAATATGCTTAACCAGCATTTTTCTTCGTCTTCTTCTTGCATAGATAATGTTGCTAAATCAACTACCCTTACTCAACTTTCTCTACTTCCCACTCCTGACTATCCTCCTTTTGTCTTTAGGCATTTTGCAGATTGTGATGTTAAGAGACACATACACTCCATTCATTCCGACGCTGTTGGGAGTGATGACGTTAGTCGTAAAATGGTCATTCCTTTGCTTGACATTCTTACACCTGTTATAACGCACATCCAAAATTTTTCCATATCCACATCTTCCTTTCCCTCCCTCTGGAAAAATGCACATGTGATCCCCTTATCCAAAAAAGCAAATCCTTCGAGTTTTTCCGAATATCGTCCTATTTCTATTCTCCCATTCCTTTCTAAAGTCCTTGAACGCCTTGTCCAAGAACAAATTTATTCCTTTTGCACTAAAAGCAATATCCTCGATCCGCTTTAGTCTGGTTTTAGATCTGGTCATAGTACGACTACAGCATCATTGAAAATCACTGACGACATTCGCTTCGGAATGGACAGTCGTCTAGTCACAGTATTGGTCTTGCTGGATTTCAGCAACGCCTTTAATACTGTAGATCATGACATTCTGTTAGGTGTACTGCGTTCTCGTAACATATCTCCAACTGCAATTTCCTGGTTTCATAGTTACTTGTATGGACGCCAGCAGCGTATTCGAGTTCAGGACAGTTTTTCTTCATGGCCTGATACTGTATCTGGTGTTCCACAAGGTGGCGTGTTATCCCCACTGCTATTTGCAATTTTCATTAATACCATTACTTCCCAAATATCTTCTCTCTACCACTTGTATGCAGATGATCTCCAGATTTACACTCAAACCACTGTGGATAATTTGGCTTGTATTCTTGACTGGAGCCGACAATATGGTTTGACTGTTAATCCTATAAAATCTCAAGCCATAATAATTGGGAGTTCAAGAAATATCACTAAATTAAATAAGAACCAAATTGACCCGGTTATTTTTAATGGCATCGTAATCCCTTATAATGACATTGTTAGAAATCTGGGTATATTGATGGACTCAAGTTTTTCATGGACCTAATGCAGTCGCTCGTAAATTATTTGCAGCATGTGGTTCGCTCAGAAGGTTGAACTACTTTTTACCTATTCCAACCAAAATTACGCTTGCCCATTCTTTACTGCTCCCTATTCTTGATTATGCTGACATATGCTATCTCGACATCACTGAGGAGCAGTAAAGAATGAAAGTAACTTAATAAACTTGAGCGACTCCAAAATCTATGTATACGGTTCATATTTGGACTTCGTAAATATGACCATGTATCAGAATATCGCATTAAGCTCAAGTGGCTCCTGATTCGTTTTCGCCGGAATACTCATATTCTTTCTGCTCTTTACTGCGTCCTATTTAATGCATCAAGTCCGGATTATTTGAAGGAACGTTTTCAATTTCTTTGCTCCTCTCATAACCTTCCTCTACGTTCAAATGAAAACCTCTTCCTTAAAAATCCTTTGCGATCAACTAATTTTTACCATAAATCCTTCTCTGCTGTCGCTGTTAAACTCTGGAACTCTTTACCTTTGGCTATTAAACGTGCTCAAACCCCAGATTCGTTTAAAAGACAGGTTAAGAAGCATTATCTCTCTATTTAGCTCCTTTCTAGCTCTCGATGTCTCTCTCCTTCCCTTTTTATTTCACTCTTACTTTGATGATCACACACAAGAGGTATGTTTTTCTTATTACTTTAATTTTTGTTGCAACTTTCTTTTTACTTAATTTCATGTACATCCTACCCAATAAGAATTTCTTTTGTTTAATTTCTGAGGTTGCCTGGAAGAAATTGCTGTGTAGCAATAAGGTCGCCTTTTGATGACCAATATTTGATAAATATTTTGTTTAGTTCTGTACTTTTTTCTTTTTTGGTGTACAATAAAGCACATTATTATTATTATTATTACTAAGCACTGTGTACGTTATCGAGGAGCAGAATGCGTGAGATCTAGATAAAACCCACAAGTAATGTTACGGGTAATTCATTTCACTTGCCTTGAGAAAGGCAACTCTATCTTGTATAGTAAATTATTACAAATATTTTTGTATGTTGGTTTTTTAAAGGTAATCACTGTACAGATTCGAAATATTTGTACTTTGCTTTGCAGTGCCACGTAGATAGGAAAAAGATTTTTTAGTTTTTATTGTATAAAAATGTACGAACATTTATTGTGATATACAGGGAGACTTTCTTAAAGGGGCCCAAATTTACACAGGAGGTTCAGACTCGGTAGTATAATCGTTTATTGAAATAAAAACATACTTTTTTTTTCAAAAAAATCACCTCCATTCTGTTCCCTAAAAACAGAACTTGTTGACAGCGCGGTAGTCATTCATAAATCCCAAAATTTTACTGTCCGCGCACACAAACGAACTTGTGTGCGTATTAGTTGTGAATGATCGCGCGTAAAATAAATGAGTTGCGTATAAATCACGCACTTTTTGAGATAAGTTCAAATTATTGTAATTAATTATTAAACTTACGAGTGATATAAATATATTTATCATTTTAATATAAAATTATTTATGTCTAGAATTTAATTAAAAAAATTGGATACACTTAGAAAAACCTACCTGTATAACACCTGCTTTGTCTTAATTTTTTTTATAATTTGAAGTTTTTCACAAACAGTTTACCAGTGGTAGGGCTGTTGCACGAATGGGCAGGCCCGTCCTGGTAAGTACCACGACCTCACAGAAGATCGGCGTAAAGTGGAAGTATGACAAATACTTTCGCGTTCCGTCTGGTGATTGAGGTAGCCGGAGCCCAATTTTCAAAAGGTTGTCAAAGCATCTGTAACGCAGTGCGGCAGTATTCACTTAACATCAGGTGAACCGTCTGCTCGTTTAACAACTTTTAGCATAAAAAAATACCAGTTTTAAATGGGAACGGTAAAGGGGAGGTTTTAATGAAAACAAACGAAACTAGATATATTTGAAATACGGATATTTATTTTTTTTTCATAAAAATTCTAAATTCAATAATGTGTTTAAACATGTAACATTTACATATATGCATTTATACAAAGATATATGTAATGTTTAGTGAATATTTAATACTAAAACTGGAGCGCAACAGACTTACAAAGATGCCGATGAATGTGACGATCACATTTCTCACTTAAAAGGTATAATTTACCAAAGTATTGTCAAATGGTAAAGATTGTTTACGTGTTAATACGACTTTAAGTAACGTTATATAATATTAAGATGAGATTAGAATGAATACTGTGCGCTTCTCCTTTATACTATCACGAATCGTGATGCCTACATAAAGTGTTATCTCGAGGCGAAAGGTAAGACGGAGAGTCTTCGCGCAAAGCGATTGACCCTACGTCATAGAAGTCACTCCATGTACACATCAGGATTCCTTCCAGTTTAACATGCTTCCTTGATGCAGTGGACGTACCTACGATTTGTAAGTATATACAAATGGATGAACCCACCGATGAATATATTATCTTCGACAGAACGCGACTATTCGAAACAAACCTCACCATACTCAGAGATGGCGGCATGGCGATTGCCATCTGCCGGCGCTTCCAAGCCACGAATCATTCACCTACCAAATAATACCGAAATTACACGGTACCCAACGAACGCACACGTGAACAATAAAGTTTTGAATTCTTCAATTATTTAACGTTAATTATTGCAATGGACAAAGAATTTTCATATACTTCGTATTAACGTTATAAACTATTCAAGTGTCACGATTAGAAGGTAAACGTAAACTACACGAAAGAAACGATATTAGAGTCGCTACAACATTATTGGAATCAGTCAACGCGGAGAAGTACAAAAGAATTTCGATCATTTAAAAAAACTTTTTGATAGACGAGAAGATTAAATATTATTAAATAGTACATTATTGAGATTTGGACTAGACAAACCACATTCTCTATCTACAGATATGTAATCCATGATAAATGCTAATATTTAAAAATCTAATTCCCGTGTCGGAAAAGTGATGTGCTCTTGACTCGCGTGTTCAACGCCGTTTGGACTCGACACAGCGTTTTCATTAAATTAATACAGTTATAAATCTAGAATCACAATATCGAGTAAATTGGTTTATATTATTTAACGGTGAACGAATGCTTATATGATTCAATTTTCAACAATGTGGCCGTATAATTATTGCTTTTGTATCATTATTGTATATTTGTTTATTAATATGAAAATGTCAATAGCGTATATTATTGGCTGATAAGTATATAACATTATAAAAACGTTTTTTTGAATTGTAAAACCGATGCTTAGTGCGATTTTAAGAAAAGTATCAGACAAAAATACATGGAGTCGATTACGTGTAAAGCGTATTAAAGTGTAAGCCTACATTTTCTTTACAACGTTGTTCTTATTTTAGAATGACATTATGGTGCCCAGGATGTTTGCGGAACTCGTGGCTCACGCAAATACTTATCGTGTTTCGGAATTGAACCCACGAACAGCGGTGCCCAAGCCAATAAGTGAGCAACAGTGCCAACTGTGTGTAAACTGCCTTTACTGCTTTTTGTGAGAAAGTGGCACCCGAGCTGCCGTTTCATTGGATGTTATGTGATAACCACCCATGGACATTAGCAACGCCGGCAGATGCATCGTCACTTTTTAACGTTGAGAAATATATTTAAGACGGTAGAGTGAGAGCGTTATTACCCTAGTAGATTGGCTCGGTGATGTTCCACGGTATAAATGAAACCGTCGAACGGTAAAAGTGTATTTCGTCTGGTGATTGAAATGAGCGGGGCTTACCCTGTCAAATGTTGATAAAGCTACTCCCACTTGGTGCTGTGGGCCACGGGCGGCGGAAAACACTCAAAATCATATGAACCGTCTGCTCGTTTTCCACGGTCTCCCATAAAGAAATAGAATCGACCACTTGAACTATCGGTTTTACAACTCGCGGGTGATTTCTAACGCGATCTATACCCTATAGCTACGCATTATAACTATCAGATCACACTTGGTCGCGGGGGACGCGCAAAATCGTATACTCCACGAGGTTTCAACGTTGGACGCTGCGTTCGAGTCTCGCGCAGCGTTGAGCACGCGACCGACGGCGCGCGGCGTTGGCCGCCACCGCGATACTGTAATTGAGCTATGCATTAACGAAATTCAACACGTACGGCCCGAAAGGACGGCCGGCGGCACATTGAGCTTTGTGCAACCCCCGATGGTTCAACACCGACAGGGCCCTCCCTTAACGGAGTCGGACATACGGAAAACAAGACAGTGCGACAGTTAACACGAACGAACGCGACACGCTAATCGACCCGACTCCCTCCCCCAAGCCCCTCCTCCCCTCCCCGGCAAACGCCCGCGACAGTTATGATGTAATAACATTATAACAATATCACAATTTTTCAATAATATACAAAAAGACGATAGGAGATTTTCCATATATTTATATCGTTACAAGACAAGCGTATTAAAGTAAGGGTAAAGGGCAAAGGTGTGTTATATACGTATCGTTCGACGACATTTGTTTTTATTATGTTTTAACGCTGATATTTACATTACCGTTATACGTTTAAACGATAGAGACCACGAATAGCAACTCGTCTCGCTAAAAACGGGATTATATTGAATATATGACCGCATGGCACCGTCTCTGAAAACACTGCAAGCGCTGTTTGGTTAATTCAAGGACATTATATGTATATACCAAGCGTCTTAGAAATCGAACACTTAACGTACACATTCTCATACAACATCAACGCTCCTATATATTCCTCGATAGAAGCACGTTATGTATTCCAACAAATGGAGGAAATAATTTACATAAGGCCATATATTAAATACTGTACAAGTATAACGATTAGATGATTGATTAGATATATAAATATGCGGATTTAATATTAAACATTAAGGATTAGGTAATGTATCCATATTTACGAAAGTTTGGTCCATATTAGTATCAATTCATCAATTGTATGTCATCGATGATTTCTCGAGTTTTAGGCGTTCAGCGAAAACGGATGCTTATTGATGTGTGAGAAAAACAGAACCGAGTTAGCAATTTAGTATATTTTTTAAAGGAGTAAAAATTATCGCCGCCTGTGTTGCATGTAAATCCAAAGTGTCACAAATTAAAAATATTACCCGCAACCGTGTCCGCTGAACGTCAAAACGGGAGCCATGGCGTCCAGTCGTTGCCTGTCATCTTTATGGGAGGGGGAACATATAATAATTTGTGCAAAACGTTCCGCCATTCACGGAACCTAATGGTAATTTATTTACAGAAGAAACAGCCCCGCTCCCCCCGCGTGGGGCGGGACGCGGCGCCAATGCGAAGGACTGGATGTACCGGAAGTGCACTTCAACGTTGACCTTCGTTATGTTGTAGTACAGCTTCGGATGGCTCGAAAACCTCCCCTTCCGGCTACGCGACCTTCTTGTGACGTCACAACCGGACACGGTTCGCTTTGAATGTCGCGGGCCGAGAACGTCCTTGTTGCAACGTATTTGCAACTTTTTAGCTTCGTGGTGCTGTAGCGAAGTCCTGCAGACGTTTCATCGGTGATGGATCCAGTGTTGCACGGCCACAGCTTTGAGGTGCTTTAATGAAGTCAAGATCCCCTTCCCCTCAATCCGGCTTCCGCTCATGAAGGCCACGGGGCGCAATACATATTGCGAGCTCGGAACGTTCGGAGTTGTACAACCCTATCCTTGAGGTGGTGCAGTGACGCCACAGACCCCACTTTCCGCTTACACGGGTGACGGGGTACATCTAGTGTTGTGGTTGCATAGCCCTAGCTATCGTGTGCTGCAGTGACGTCACAATCGGCCCCCTCCGCTCACGAGGGCCCGGGCTGACCCCCGCTCGGTGCTTCTGCCCTCATCTCCGACTTGAGCTTAACGAACTCCCTGGCGACCTCGTCACTGTGCCTCTGCGACAGGATCCTCAGTATCGTCCAGCCCGTCTCATCCATCTTGACGCGAGTGCCCAACGGCAGCCAACACGCGCACGAGCCCTGCAAATCGATAGAAGCCATAAAACAATTGATTGTTTCATTTGTTTGATATTAAGTTCTAAATAGAGCCGTGACAGCTCATGAGCTCATGTCCGGGCGTTCGCTTTTAATTCCATATACTCGAGCAACCTGAGTTGTTACTGCACTAATAAAATTGTTAATTTTAAGTGCTGACTTATCACATTCGTGCAACAGATAAGACTGCCACACTGGCACCACAGTCAAAAGGTTTTTCAGGAATCTGTGAGGGTAAATGTCATCTGGTCCTCCGATTGCGTGAGGGACGTAATAGAAGGGTGTGGTCACCTGCTCAGCGATGTCGGCCAGGCGCATAACGGCGACGCCTACGAGCCTGTCCTCGCGCGCGAAGCAATAGTCGCGCACGCACACGTGCAGCTCGAACAGTTCCAGCTGTTCGGTTGCGCTCACCATGCTGCGATCGCAATGAAAAAAAATACATAAAGAAAGTACATAACATTTATTTCGTTGCGACGGTGGAGGAGGTATGCTGAATGACGACACTGTCTAACTTAAGGAGCAGATCAGAGTAAAAGATTCATTGTCATTATTTCCTCCATATCCCTTACCCCTCCTAATAATTGTTATTACTTGACATTCAGCTAGTCTCTGTCATTTTCTTACCAACATTCCCCACACGAAGAACGGCCTTCTAGCTTGATCGTAGGAGAGTCAGAAGTTTACCAGTTTATTATAAGGTTTTTTTTCTTATTCAAATTCCTTATTTCAATTTAACCTTCTTTCCAGCTATCATGATGAACACCAGAAACTACCACTAATTCATTGAGTAAGAGGTGTACAAAGAAAACATTAGGTGTTTTTTTACACTTTTTATTAGCTTCACTTGTATGTTTGTACCACCCACATCAAAACGTCTGATTAATTTAAAATTTTGCACGCTTTATCGAGGATCGATGACAATACAATAGATTAATAAGATTATCCTGACCATCATGAGAGCCTGAGAAACGGAATGAAAAATTTTATGGATGGCTTTGTACACCTAAATTCTTAATATCGGATACCCCATGCTTCATTAGCAACGATATTAATTTTATCATTAATATAATTTTTTTTTAACTTTTTGTTGATTGTAGCGTGATTAAGTACTTTTTTAATCTAATTACAAGAGTTTAAAATTGTTTTCAAAATCCAATTTAAAAAAAATTGTTTTGCAGTCGGGCTTCAGATCTTCCATCCAATTAAGCATAATTGCTGTAATAATACAAATTTACAATCTCTTTCATTTTATATATTAAGATTAATGGCTCATTTACACTGTTAATAAGCCATTGGCTTTGGCGACCGCGGTCGGGGCTTCGATTCCCACACGAGATTTTATGTGATGGATAGATAATTAATCCGGATCTGGGTGTTTATACTCCAAGATGGCTGAAAATACCTGTAATATATTTCTGAAAATATCTGTAATAGCTGTTATACTGTCTCCGTCTAGGTGGGATATAGGCAGAAGAAAGAAGAAGAAGACTACCATTTATTAATGTGTGCCATTGTATCGACAGAAAATAGTCTGTTACTCACAAATGAAAGGTTTCATTGAATTTCGGGCTCCAATTATTGCTTTTGGACTTTGTGGCGAATTTCCTCTTCTTATCCGCGAGGTGCGGACCGATCAGGTTGACCTCGATGAATGGACGGAACATGCCACTGGCGATCACCCATTTCAAGTCGTTCGCGGCAACCACTAGGATCAAAGAATTACCATTTAAAAATGCGGAATGTTTTGTTGAATGTTTTATTGATGTGAGAAGGTGGCAAGCGAGCTGGCGGTTACCCTGATGTTGACACCCTTAGGGTTACAGATACGTTACCATATATTAATAAAGTGGGCCCCGGCTGCCTCACCCATCAGAAGAGTCACACTCATCAAATGCTTCCACTTCACGTCGGTGAAGTCGTAGTACTTACCCGGACGGACCTTTTATGCAACAGCGAAGACTTTTGCGTATCATAGTCCTACCGTAGACCTATCATAGTTAAAATGTAATTTGAGCAGGTATTTTGTACTATGTATTAATATATCATTTATTCTTTACTCATCCAACTGGTTCTACTGTTGAACGAATGGGCGGGCTCGTCCGAGGAAGGATTCTGCCCAACATTAGATTAACATTAAGTGTAAGTGCACTTTCGCGTTTCGTCTGGTGAGTCGAATCTCCAAGCCAAGCACTCAGGTGTTGTAGATGTGTCACGGGCGGCGATATTAACTTAAGACCAGGTTAACCACCTGCTCGTTTGAAAACTTACAACGCCATAATATATTATGGCGTTAAAAGAAAGTATTTTATTTAATAAAGAAGCCTTTTGATAAACGCGTTAAAAGCTAAAGAATAGTAAACTACCTTTGACCGTGATCTTGTGCTCTCCAGTTCCCGGGTGAGTGAACAGGTCCACTTGAAGCGATACCTCTCCAACGCTGCCCTCTTCCGCCACTGCCGCATCTAAGCTCATGTCAATCACAAATATACGAAATGGTTTGGGTGCGCAATTTTGAAAATTTCCTCGATATATTAACACTATGATACAAAATATTCAGTGCTTCATTATTATTTAATTTAAACCTTTAATATTTACATTTAATTTAAACCTTTTTTAGTATTTTATTTATATTCCAACCTTATCGTCAACATTAGTATCTTTATTGTATTATTTAAAATTACTTGATTTGTAAAAATGACAAGTTTAATGCCAATTCAGTGTGCGATTATCGATAAGATTGTCATTTCACCTTGATTCTGTTGACTCGTGACGAAGGTCCTGATCAGCGTGTCGGTGGTCTGCGTGTATAGACTGAGGGCGTATCTGAGCGACTGCAGCTCTGGACTCTTCTCTAAGAAGGTCTTCTTGAGGCCATTGCCACCCGCGTGGAAGTACAGCTTGATGGTGTCCAGCGCAGCGTCGAGAACCGCACACTGCTTCGGCGTCAGACTCTTTTCGGCCGACAGGTGCTTCAAACGTGAAGGTAATTTCGTTTATAAAGGCCAAGATAGATAAATCAGGATCTTTATATTTCACAGAACAGACTTGGAAAGACAGAATGATGGTTTCTGTAAAATGTATTGTCATCAAAAGTCCATGACGTGCGAAGAAGTTGCAACCAACGTCCAACGGCTTTTGGTACAAGATTGCAGCGGGCATCTTGATTAAATTCAAGTTGTTTATTATACAATGCATTGTCTTAGGCGCGAAAAATCTATGTATTACTTTGGTCGTCTTATAATAGAGACAAACGATTAAACATATTTTTTAGATGAAACGAGATAAAATACTGAACCTCTTTGGATATGTCCATAACTCCGGAGAGTGCATGTTTCACGTCCTGTTTTCCAACGGTGCTCTTGAAGAGTTGGGTCATATCTTCTATTTTGGCGTTGGCCGCTAGATTCTTCGCATTGTTCGTTAGATTTTTCAGCATCATCTGAAAAATTGTGATAGGGTCAAAACTTTTAGTAAAACGTGAAAAAATCGTTAAAAAGGGAACATAAGTAAGAACATATTAATGGCAGAACAGTAGTAAATATCAGTTGCTTGATAAAAAAAAGATAAAATAATTAATAAATAACTGAAGACCGAGAAGAGCCGTGGCCGTGGTAGCTTAGTTTTGCAACGTTTACTTTTAAGTTTTATAGCAACATTATAATATAAAACGACAGCAGAATGTGTATAGTTGTATTCTATTATTCGTATACATACATACATAAAGAAAAAAAAATGCCAGTAAAATAATTAACCCACCGTTTTGTCCGTCATAGGTGGAAGTACAACTGTTTTTTCGAGTATTTTCATAACGATCTTCCAAAGCTCCTTGAGTAACCGTTTTAGTACCGTCTTCTCACATGATTCTGCATACATAGTCAGTGAACCGTCCTGCAAATACAAAAAAACGTATTTACTTTACTGTGACAAAGACTTATGTTTACAATAAGCGATGAAAATTGATGTCAGTAATTATTTCTTTAAGATGGCCGATGCACGAATGGAGGAAATGGCACGAACGTTCGGACAAGTACCAAGATCTCATAAAAGACTGGTATATAGTGGTATTTGCGGTATATCTTTCAAAGTTTAGCAAACTCATATTTTGTAAGACACGAGTACAGTAGATGTCCACTTGTCATCTTCTAACATAATAAACCTATATCCAAACCCTATTTGATTACACTATACCACGTACCAATTGAAGGCTTAATTTTCTAATTTTTATATCATTTTATTTACAGGTAGCTGGTATGATGTGAAGAATAGAAGCTAGGTGTACAAACCAATATATCCATCAGGGGTCGAAGCACCTCATCGGCTTCGTGGTGAGCTGGCGGCTGCGGTGCTCCAGGAGCACCACCACCACCCACCTTTTGTAGAAGCTCACCCAGTTCCTTTACACTGGCCGTGATTCGGATCTCAAGACTGCGAACAACAAACGTGAGTATTACTAACCATATGCATTTATGTAATGACTGCTGAATAAATAAATTATTTCTTTGTCTAGAAACCAAATCCGTATCTGTAGATTGAATATTGAAACCGGCCGTAAATGTTCTTGCTTTGTCTGTATTATAGCTACATCGAACTCAGAGTCGAATCAAGTCCATGGCCAGCTGGTGATGTTTGTAACATACCTGTTAGCGAACATCGAGGCTAGTTCATCTAGCGTGCTGTTCAAGCTCTGCTGTAAATCATGCAGTATGTCTGCGGCATCCCTTTCCAGCTTAGTGCCACCCATTGCTTCGAACATCTTCTCCAGTTGTACGCGCAGTTGTTGGATATTGTTCATGAGAATGCACGCCTAAAATTTGTAAGGTCAGTGTTTTGTAACATCAGTTGATTTGGATTAAGTTTTGATTCGCTTATATTAGTATTAGTAAATAATTTTCACGCCTACCATTTAGTAGCGCATCCTATTACTTAGTACTTACTACATGAATAAGTATTGACTTATTCATGTAGGCAATTTCTCATTGAACATAATTAACTTCCTAAACGTCTAAATTACTTTTTTCTTTTATGAGTATTTATGGAAATACGATATTTGTTCCACATTATATTATGCAAATAACATTTTTTGTGTGGAATATTCGGTATTTATATTTAAAATTAAAACAAAAACGTAACAAATTTTCTTTCCACCTTTGTGAAATATCTTCTTAAGAGTATCTGAAGTTTATATTTTTGTTTTGAGTTTTTGTTGTTTAAAATCGGCTTACCACTCTCTCCTCTTTAAGATGTTCAGGGAACTCCTTCTTAACGATGTCGGCATATGCCACAAGCACTTTCACTATGGTCTTGGCGAATCTCTTCATGTACCTCTTCCAGATCTCCGGATCTGGACACTCCAACTTGGACACCACGTCGAAGCACTGCGTCAGTTGTGTGAACACGTCCACCACTGAGTTACTGAAGAGTGCGTGCTCGCTGGATTTTTGGAACTGGAAAATTAACGACATTTGTAAATAGAACATTATTGCTACATATTTGTAGATGAAACTAATAATAGCAACAGACAATTACGTATCGAGTTATTAGTTAACTCGAATTTAGCATATTTTGTTTACGTATGCTTTGCTCGTATCGTGGTTATTTTGAGATGTTTTCTGGTATGATTTGATAGTATAAATTTATGACTAAGGAAAATCCGGTGTAATGAGCGCTAGTCTCAACTCACTACGTGCGTTTTATATTTGTATGATCTTTTAGACTTTACCCACGCTTAGGTTTAATGATAAACAAGTTTATTTGAAGAGAGAACTGTACTTTGACGTGCAAAAGTTTCTTTTGCAAGTAGTGTTCATACCCATGTCATTGGTGTTGTCGTATGTGCTTTTTAAATTCTTACCCCGTCTCTCTTGTCTCTGTTGAAGGCGCCGTTCAGATACTCCAAGGATACGTCGTCGTTCTCGTTGAGCCACTGCATGACGAAGGGCTCAAACCACGCTGGGTACTCCGGCACCGCTCCGCAGTAAGGTGGCACGTCCTTCACGTAATTCGTGTGCAACCACTTCACCTGTTTCATTGACACATTGGTATAGTAAATCGAATAATTAGTTGTTACAAATATAACATGAAGGGGTTTTGGCTATCTTTATATATATATAATTCTTCTGTTCGTGGGTATGTCACTGAACTCCTCCTAAACGGCTGGACCGATTTTAATGAATTTGTTTTTGTGTTTTCAGGGCGATTCGAGAATGGTTTAGGTTCACATTTTTTTTATAAGTTATCGGATTTAAGTCGTGTGTACAGGACAACGTCTGTTGGGTCCGCTATTATGTAATATAAATTTGCCATAAAAAAAGTAAAGTAACAGCCTATACATGTCCCACTGCTGGGCAAAGGCCTCCTCTATACAGAGGGTATCAGGGCATAGTCCACCACGCGGCCCCACTGCGGATTGGCGGACTTCACATATTTTCGAAATACATTTTTTTTTTGTTATTATTCCGAAAATATACAGGTTTCCTCACGATGTTTTCCTTCACCGCGGAGCACGTGATAATTCAGCACTTAAAGTTAAAAACTTCATTGGTGCCGGCACCGGGGATCAAACTCAGGTTGCTCGAATATACATTGAATTAAGGCGAGCGCCCGGACACTGAGCTATCAGTATACGTGGGACGTCGCATTAATGGTGTGTAAGTAAACGAATATAAGCAATTTAGATAAAATTTGCCATTGTTTATATAAATTACAAAAGAAGTTTTATTTTACCAATAAATGACAGGGAACGCATAATAATGTATTTGAAAATGTGAACTACACAATCAAAAACCGATCGTTTTGTTTGAATATCCCTTTTGAAGGCAAGGGTCATTAAAAAAGATGACTATCAATGAGCTACTACGGCGGTAAAACTTGTTATTAAAAATGTATTAAATTATATATAATAATTATATATATATATATATATATATATATATATATATATATATATATATATATATTTTATTTATATTAATATAAAAAAAAAGATATAGTTTATGGAGTTTTTATTTATATAAATGTTTGGTTGGCAGATGTTGTCATAGTATAAGTATCTCCATTTTACCTTGAAATGTAGATTCATATATGCGGAAGACTTGCAGAGCCTATGCTGTTCATGTTCCTCCAAAGCGTATTTCATGTCTACGGCAAAAAGAGACCACATCGTCGCCGCGGACAACTGAAAGAAAGCCAAACAATGTGAAAATTTTAATTATAAAAACTTCCAGTTACTTCAAAGCTTCTACATGTTTCCAATAAAACAATCATTCACAATTCCATCATCATAATTTCAATAAAACAATCATTTACAATTTCATGGGTTTAGATATTACAATTGAAGCGATATGTAATTAAGAATTCATTTAGAATATAAATAGTTTGAACGATCTCTTCAAAACCTCATAGGCTTACCTGACCAATGTTCAGCTCCTGAGGGAACTGGTTGAGAACCGGCGCGTAGCTGTTCCTGTCTTCTTCGATCACGGACACTATGAGGGCGATGAGTTTGTGCCAGAAGTCCACAGAGTCCAACTGAGGTCCATGGTCGGAAGGGTCACGCTTAGCCTCGTTAGGATCCACCTGGTAAATTTTTGTTTAAGACATATTTTAGACTTCACTCGCTTAATGCGCGTTGGCGGTGACAAAACACGAGCTAGACGAGTAACAGAATTTCACCACAACATAATAAAGTTTAGAGTTCACTATAAAGTAGCTAGCTTATAATTTCTTCTTAGAATACTTAACAATTCTTCATGGTCCTATTTAGTAAATAATAATAGTTTGGTTAGTTATTTTATTTTAAGACTTTCGTACAAATAGGGATATGTTGTATTTCCCAAACGAATAAAAAAATTACATTTTTAGACGTCTATGAAAATTTCTAACAGATATAATATTAGTAAAATACAGGCCATTTCGAAAATGTTAAAACGACTCACTTGGAACTCTCTATTATACAACTCGTAACAGTTTTCGAATAGGAACTGATAAGTCGATCTTAGGCACGCCTTCACACAATCCTTTACCACTGTACTTGCTCGCGGTGGACTGCTGAGTTCTTGCACCTAACAATAATAAAAATTTTATCACTATTTATATCTATATGTTTATTTTTTATCTATAAACCCAACCAGACGAGAAAACAAAGAAATATCCCCAACATTTAAAACTTAACTAGCATATTATCAGATATTCATATCATATTAGGTTTGATAAAGTAATATGTTCATTGTCAATGGAGTTAAATACATCGAAGCTTTGATAGAAGTAAATGTTTTTTTTTTGGAGTAGCTTTTTAAATATTAGTAGCTTTTATGTTATTCACTGTATCATTTTAATAAAAACCTGTTCTACAGTCATCTTACCTTCATCCTGAAAAATGTGATGCTAGTCAGCAAGTCAACGGTTGACTTAAGATCCATCAACTTTTCCGCGCTCGACGCTGGGAAATTGTTGCGGTACATCGACAGGTCTATTCTTAAGGAATTGTGTAGCTGATCCAGTAGTTTGACGAATTTCTCTTTCTAGGAGTTCGGAAGAAAGGTTAATCACAATAAATATATAGTCAATAGCGTGGTTCAAACAAATATGCCAAAGTATGGCTGTAGAAAAGTCTTAGTCAGAGTAAATATGAGTTATTATGTAGTTAGAATAATTTTGTATCCTTATGTGTTTATCTTTTAATGTTTTTCTCTTCTAGATTTGATGAATTTGAATCGCGTAGATTCAATTTCTAGTAAAAACATATGGTACTCTTTAATAAATACAAACAGTTCGTTGCTGTAGTTCAAACTTATAGCTGGAATTTGATTTGTTTACACAATTTTAAAATGGTTTACGCAATGACACTCATCACAACAAACGTAAGATAAAAAAGTAGCAAATTTTGAAATATATAAACAGTTTGTACGGAAGTAAAATTGGGGGTATGAAATATGTCGACTTTACGGCGTGTAAAAAGGATCTAATCTGGATTTGACCTACTAACTTGCACCGTTCAGAGCATTCACGGTGGCTTTTGAGCGCGTTACACAATAAAAGTTAAAAGTGCCCTTACAGTTGGGGTAAGCATTGTAAGCTATGCCCGTAAACCAGTTGATAGTTAAACGAGTCGCTCATTTACTGTTATGTATAAAGCGAGGAGTGGCGAGAATTTTACGATTGGGCTGACCGTTATAAACCCAAACTCAAACTTAATTCACATAAAGTGGTCGTGTATACTTCCCAAGTTTGATGTTCATTTGGTATGTAATCACTATAAGCTACACGTGGAATGCATCGCATTAATGGTGTGTAAGTAAACGAATAAAGAAAGCAATTTAGATAAAATAATACAGTACATTAAATTTTGGAAAAATGCCATCTATCTCTTCCATGATATCTCTTCCCTCGGCATAAATATAATTCATTGAAATAATGATTTTAAATCAATAAATTAAATCTTTATTTCATATAGGTAATTAAAGTACGAATTTACATGGTAAAATTCGTTTCACAAGAAGTACATATATGTTTGAGTAACAATAAAGAGATGGGCATAAACATAATTTAATAAAACGTTTTCGAGTTACCGTTGAAATGTTCTCAATTAAAGGATTAAAGAGTCGCAGATAGTTAATTTGATTCTTCTATCTGAAAAAAACTTTGTGTCGTTTGTAAATTCGTTTACGATTTATGAGAGTTGTTCGGTCACTTTTACGATGTCAGGCGCCAGACGAATGATCCAAACAAGTCTGATCGGAAGCGAGTTAAGAAAAGTATTACTTTGTTGATTTTTATTGGAGTCAATAGGAAGTGTTTATTAAAACTAGCATTTAACCCCGCTTCGCTCTTTTGTTATTTTCAAAAATGCACCCAAAGATTATGTTTTAAGAGACTATCGTATGTTTATCCAGCGTACAATGCGAACTCTAAATTTCATTCAAATCCGCCCTGGCGGCCGTCTAGCCTGAATATTTACCTGATACGTGCTATAAACGAGTCTTATGGAATCTAGCGACCCGCTCCGGCTTTGCACGGGAGCACTGTAGATGGTAATGTGGGGCAGTGTGGAGTGATTAATAATATTATGATTACTCTAAAGATATACAAAAGGGTATCTTTATATACCATATTTATAGCTGTTATTTTATGACACAGTGCAAGTACAGTGTTTGCAATGTGCGCATAAAAATATGTTTGTTACTACAATGGCGTTATAAATCTTTAAACTTATAGGCTTTTCTCTACTACAATATGGGCATTAATATGTGGGCAATATAGGCATTAAATCCGCCTTTGTATACTATTTGTGCATAAAGTGTAAATAAATAAAATAAATAAATATGCATGTATATGGTATACATGCATATTTATTATATATATAAACCTTCCACTTGAATCACTATTGCTGAAAACTGCATTAATTTCCGTTGTGTATTTTAAAAGATCTAAGTGTACAAACAGCGGGAGCGACTTTATTATACTATGTAAAAAAGATAAATAACAGCGATGATATTACACGTACCCCAAAGTTGGATGCGGCAAATCTGTCCGATGCGGATACGGCCGAAGACGCCGTTGTATGTGCGTAGTAAGCGTTAATGTTCGCGAGGAGGGTTGACATGACAGCTGGAACACCGGCGCATAGGTACTTCGTCGACAGACAATGGAAATGCCTGCAAGTAACACGATTCTTAAGTAAAATTAGCACAAAAGTTATTTATAATAACATGTTAACTTAGCGAACATGTTAATTTAACTTAAGATTAGTTTTATTTTGTGCTAAAAAAGTTCACAAAACCTTTTACTCTTTATATAAAGCAAGTGAACATGAAGAAATAAGTGTGTAATACATGTCGCAAGTAAAATTAGTGCGTTATTAATAAAAACACGAACGTCATCCGTACGCGCGAAAAAGTTATAAACCGCTCGTGCGTTTTGACAAATTGAATTCGACAAGGCGCCGCGCAAGAATTCTCGGATGACGGATCGCCGCGTTACATTAGCGCGGGCTTTGTTTCTTTTTTGACTTACGTCACGTTTTTCTGACTTGCGTCACGTTTTTACGACTTACGTCATGGCCTGATAGATGGCCTCTATTCCGTATCTCATCGCGAACTCGTCCACAATCTCCTCGGGGATCTCGTTGAAGTAGATCTTCCAGGCGTCGTCGCCCCTGGCGGCGGGCAGGGTGACTGCGCCGCCGTTCTCCTCGCAGAGGTAGTGGAACAGGTTCTCGTGCAGGCAGGTGTACTGGAAATGAAGAGGAATGGAAATTGGCGAGCCATTAAGCAAGCCCCCACGGTGGGTGTTTATTGTCGGATTAAACGTCGGAACAGACGGCGGCGGGAGAATTTCATTTTGGCGATTATAAATTACGAGTTACGTTAAACCTGCCATTAAGATGATTTTAGTGTGCTTTTGGGACAGAGTAATGTAAGGGTAGGATACAGTACTAATGTGATGATGTCTTCACCGCATTTCCGTATATAATTGCGAGCAAAATTTGATTTTCATGTTAATCTTTTACTATAAATTGTCTTGTATGTTATATAGGTTGGTACTTGTTTTTTAAACGAGTCTTCAAAACCATCCATTTCATACTTTTTTTTCGCCTTAGGGGCCTTTACAGATCCGACGGACTTGAGGTGGTCTGGCGCACGGGGCGCGTAGCCTGAGCCTCGGATTTCCATATCATACATTACACAATAATTATTCGTAGGATGACTCCGTGGCGCAGTTGCCAAGGTATTGGCTTCGGCGTCAGGGGTCGTGGGTTCGATTCCCGCCCGTGACAACTATTTGTGCGACCCACAGATAGTTGTTTCGCATCTGGGTGTTTGTCCACGTGAATTTTATGTTTATAAAACGTCCTTACAACACAGGATAATGTTATCCTAAAGTGAGGGCAATGTTGTAAAAAAAATTGTTTAAGACCTTTCTTTATATTATTCGATAGAGGAGCACCAATTAACCATAGATGTTTTATGAAGGAATGTGGAAATACACATGTGGAAATATGATAAATAAAGATATCATACGAAAAAATCTGCCTAAAATCTAGTTTTAAAACATAATAAATATTTTCTTTTACCAAAGTTTTCAACATGAAAACACTTTCAAATTGTTTTATTTAAACACAAAAGTAGGAAACAATTTTTGGGAACGTTGATAAGAACACTAACGATATTTGAAGTTTGAATGAATTCACGAGTATTCTGTTACGGGTCTTTTGTTATATGACATATTAGAATACAAATACATAATAATTTTATGTATTGTATTTCTTTTTCAATAAGAAATTGAAAGTTTTCGCGAATAGGCTTAGAATTCTTTAAATAAAGGTATTTAATAGTTGGGATAATTCACCAAATCTAAGGTCTTCAATTTGTCCATGTAATATGAAATATTGAGCCTTCGACTAATAAGATATCAGCGACTTTAACGTTGTTCGTTTAAAATTAATTTCATGTTTGAGGGTTTTTAAATTTTACATTTGCATGTTAAATTAAAAACCCTCATACAGTTACAGTCACAACATTTGCTTTAATATAAAATCAAATTTAGTTCTGTTTCAAGGTCTTGTTGATGCTAAATTGATTGTTGTGACTAATAAACGAAACGGATTATAATGCTCAAAATATCTCTTATTTATGTGAAACGTTGCCAAGCGAACAGACGGGATACCTGATGTTAAGTGAATATCGCCGCCGATGGACGTATGCTACACCCTCACTCACCAGACGAAACGCGAAAATATTATACTTCCGCCGATCTTCTGTGAGGTCGTGGTACTTACCCGGACGAGCCTGCCCATTCGTGCAACAGCCGAGGCTGCTGCGTGACCCACTACCGTAAAATATCATCTAATCTAAAAAGTTAAATTCAGTCACAGCCATCTTGCTTAGACAGGAAATGTTTCCTCACGGGTGTTACGAATTTTTCAATTGCGTTCATCTAATACACCGTTTTGCGTAGCGAAAAAAGTCACACTGCCTCTGTTCGATGTTAGTTATAACTCGGAGGCGAGGCTGAACTCGCACGGGAAATCAAAATGTGGACCAAAAATAAATTGAATAACGCCGCGTTTGACCCGCACGGAGCTCTGCAGTGATTAACATGACGGATGTTGTGTATTTTCCATTAACCTCCACTTGCAAACGGTTCGGCGTGCTCGGATGTATAGGGGGGCTTGGGAGGGGGTGGTACATTGTGGCGGTGACGTAATTTATTTAATGCCATTCCACGGCACAGCGTAATGACGCGCCAAGACGCCTCGCGTGATTTGTTCGCGAGATTTGGCGTTATTTTTTAACTATGGATTCTGAGATTCTCATTTTATTTCTCCGATGGCACTTAGATGATGTGTCTGTAGATAATTTTAAATAATTTTCAGTTGGCGTCGTTTTTTTTTCTGTCTGTCTGTGCGTACATTATACAGCGTGTCGTTACAACCGCGACAATAAATGAACACACATATAGAGGATATATTTCTAAAATTGTATTAAGCATTTAAATTCTTTAAACATCAATATTTACCGAGTTATTAAATTTTACAAAACAATCATTTTTAGAACATCCTTACGTATAAAACTGTAACGTAAAGTTCATTTGTAAAGGTCACAAAGCATATGAATGGGTTGAATGAATTTAAAAGAGATAAAACATACTGTTAGAAGGAGAGACTTGTAATGCGACGTTTTGGCAACGAATAAAAAAGTCTCTGAAAGTATGAATCACTCAGTTGTAGTTGTATAGGATGTTACAAATTATGTTTCTTTTTTATTTAATTAGTTTGTTTGAAAAATATATTTTTTTAATTATGGTTTTTTTACGTTTTATATTTTTTTACGATTATTGGCAAGTAGCGTTAGACGTGTGTTCATTTATTTTTGCGGTTGTAACAACACGCTGTATTGCGCTTTCTTTGGGAACAAAACTGATGTCAACGGTCCTTAAGTGGTTTAGAAATTGCAGTTTATAATTGGAGTAACAGAAAACACGTGCATTTATATCGCATTATTTGAAACTTTCAGTCTAGTGCATTTGCATACTCTGAATATCATGTAGAAGAGAAGTAAGTATTACAGTGCAAATAAAGAATTAAATGTGAAATTTAGCCATTTGGAATACTCCTGATCCACTCATCCGGGGTTTCAATATATATTTTAACTTAAAAATTTTGATAGGTTAGTTGTCAATTTTTTTTAAGTCTCTTTAATCCGCCTTGAAAGGGTTATAAACAACTTGAAATTTATAATCATCTTGCCACGTAAGTAGACATTCATTTCAATTGTAATAAAACTACACTATGTTGATAAATATTAATACAAATAGTCTGGATATTAACAAAAATTCGAAGCCTCTTTGTTATTTTGGCGCCGTCTTTAATAAAGAAAAAGAGATTGCAATAAGTGGAATAAAAACGTATTGTATTCGCGCGGCACGTAAGGACATTCATCACCTTTATTTAAAAAATGAGATGTTTATAATACCACGTGCCTGGGGAGTAACTCTCTGCATTATTTTTATAATACCACGTGCCTTGTGCCAAATAATTTTATCCTTACTAATATTATAAAGGCGAAAGTTTGTATGTATGGATGGATGTTTGTTACTCTTTCACACAAATACTACTGAATGGATTTAATGATACTTTACAATAATATAGCTTATACCTACATCAAACTAAAACATAGGGTATAATTTATATACATATTTGTACGTATTTTTGTCTTTCTGTCTGTTACGCCTTCAGCCTATTCTACTCAGACGTAGTCGCGGGCAGCAGCTAGTAGGAAATATAACTCAGTCTGAATACATCCATACATAACATTTAATTGTTGCGTTTAGTTACATATTGTGCTAATTTTATGCATAAAGGATTATTATTGCGATTCAATAGTACAGGTTAATGTAAAATAATTTAGCTAGGCCATTATCGAGACAATTACAAGAACACGCAAAATTCGTAAATGCTAATACGGGCAGGTAGCGTATGGTTCAGATAAAACGTATATTGCTATGGAGACACCAAATAGACGTAAAGTTCGATAAAGTTGATCTAACGCTCTAGAGGTACTGGCATGACATTTAATACTCGATTACCTCTACATTTTGACAATTGACTGGCTAAATTGAGAATGTTACGTGCCCAACTTCACAGTTCACAAAACATTCGTAAACTAATCAATGAAGTAAAATGGCCGGGAGAGGTTTATTTATACCCGTATCACTCATCTTCAATGTAAACTTCTCTTTATATTATGTTATAGAAGTCTAAGTTTCATTAAAATTTGTAGACAAAGGGAAAAAAGGTTGTTTTGTCGCTGCGGGAATAGAACCCACGTATTCCGGATTTGCGTCTAGGCGCTTTAACCACTAGGCTAAACGGTTTTTTTTTTTGATTTATTGATCTCACACCGACGAAAATCTCAGGATTTTTTATCTACATTTTTAGGGTTCTGTACCCAAAGGGTAAAACGGGACCCTATTCCTAAGACTCCGCTCTTTGTCTGTTTGTTTGTCTGTCCGTCTATCACCAGGCTATATCTCATGAACTGCGATAGTTAGACATTCGAAATTTTCACAGAAGATGTATTTCGCTATAAAAAACCTAACTTGTAACCGATAGACGTTTACTATTCTACACCTCAAGCGAAGCTGGTGAAATTTTTAGGGTGTAGTTTGGCACGTGTATTATAGGTACGTATTTCAATTATTTTGTTGTTTTTACTCCGTGTATAATAATTAATACATGGGCATATAAAACTGAGGGATACCAAAAATGCATCATAACAGCCGATAGAATAAAGAGCATAAATAAAGGCTTCGTCAGTTGTTGTCAAATTGAATGTAATTGCTAGTGTTAGGCGCTAATTTAAACCTGGAAATATTAGTTAAGTTTATCTACGTACGTTTTACGTACTAAGATTATATATCTCATATATTATATGCTCGTACATACACTTACGGCCGCGGCCGACTTTATTTGGTTACTGGAGATAGAATTTTAACGTAAGTATTAAGGAGCTAATGTCAAAATACCTATCGCTGGTATGCAAATTTATCTGTAGATAGAATATTGAAACTTGCCGTTAGTTTATGACACATGTATCGCATACAGTTTGCCGCTTGGATCAAACAAAATTCGTGTTCCTTAATTCGGAACGGACATTTGATTGGATTAGCACGTTGCGGCAGGGTGATGATGGAGCGAAAATTTGTCGCCATTTTTACTTTGGACTTGCGCG